TGACATGAGTTTAGTTTGTGAGAAAATTTGACTAGTGGGGGAGTAGCTCTAGCATGTAGAGATATTTAAAGCTGAGCAGCCTCATTATTTCAAAAGCACATGGACAAACAAAATCCCTTCCCTTTTCTTTGGTTTGTTGACGTAATCATATCTAATTTACAGAAATGAATGTTCCAGGGAAAGGGAAAGCAAAAGAGTGTTGCTGATAAGAGTCAGGGAAGTGTGCTGAGTGGCAGTAAACTTTCTATTGCAATTATGACTAATACAAGGAAAATTTGTGTACAGTGGTACCTCGGGTTACATACGCTTCAGGTTACAGACGCTTCGGGTTACAGACTCCGCCAACCCAGAAATAGTACCTCGGGTTAAGAACTTTGCTTCAGGATGAGAACAGAAATCGTGCTCCGGCGGCGTGGCAGCAGCGGGAGGCCCCATTAGCTAAAGTGGTGCTTCAAGTTAAGAACAGTTTCAGGTTAAGAATGGACCTCCAGAACGAATTAAGTTCTTAACCCGAGGTACCACTGTACTTGGTTGAGTGAACCCATAGATTCAAGGCCCCATAGTGGCTCCACTGGAATGTATTGATGACTTATTGGAACAATATTCTGAAGAGAGGAAACTTCAGGTGGTTGTGAAGAGGAAGTGACAGGTTGCTTATGGCTTTTAGAAACTAGATGGTCGCAAGTTAAAAAGGAAAAAGATAAGACGCAGTTTTCTTGACTCTGGGACAGGAGTGTATGAAGTTGCAGATGATGGGCGATGGTCTTGAAAGAGAAGTAAAGCAAATAGGTACATAGAATTTGGGACTCTCTCCTGAAAACAGGGGATTTCTGGAGAACTGGAAGAACAGACATCTGGCAATGAGCATTTGCAATGCCACTTGAAGAATATGAAGGAGAAAATTGTAGATTTCCAAGGGGCTGTAAAAGTTTTGACACAGCACCTTAAAAAGCAACCGGTCAGTGATGGAGAAGTGAATGGTGTTGCGCATCCTCAAGGTAAAGCTTTGGTAGAAAAAATGAACAGTTCCATGCTCATACAACTATTTGGTCAGTAGTGGGAGGAACTTCTTCAGATAATAATGATGTTGATGTTTGGGAATGAGAATGGATACAAGGAAGTGATAACAGGGAGAAAATGGTTGCTTCCGCTCCACTGGAGGTGAAGGTTTGCAAGCATGTCAATATTAGGCTTGCTCATGCTTCTGCTTGTACCCGCTTAATCGGAGCAAATGTCAGTTGGGTTTTCCATGGATTGACACTTGCCCTGATTCAGCGGTAAAGAGCTGAAAGGGGTGGCAAACAGAAAACTGCTCGAACCCATGCCTAGAAAGCACAGGATAAACAGAAAACCTCTAAGACCTGTGCATTCTCAGCAAGGAACAAGCAAAGTGTGGACGAGCCCATTGCTTTACATAGTGGAGCTAAATAGGAAGAGGAATCTGTAGTACCAGATCCTGTTATCACTGCTAAGGATACCACACACACCAATAGGTTATAGTGGAGGCAAACGTTAGCTTCTTCTGAGCTTGAGGACATAGAGGAACTAAAGGAAGTAGAGGAGACTATTGAGGACTTCCTTCTGAGTACACATGCACAGAATTGCACTCCACGAAAATTAAGCATTATATGATAGAGCCACCATATTGTGCAATTTGGTATTCAGTGCATGCCGTGGAAACAAAACAATCCAATTACACATTGGCTGGAAATATTTGGTGATAACAGGCAAATTATCTTTTCGGCAATTTATCTTCCATTATAGATCTTTGTATCACAGGATCTTTGGAACTTCAGGGTTCCAAAGGATGTTGTTTGACAACAATTGCAGTAACATATTAAGAACATACAAAGAGGTTGCTACATCAGGCCACAGTGGCCAACCAGGTGCCTGTGGAAATCCTGCAAGCAGGACCTGAGCACATGAGCACTCTCTCCTGTGGTTTTTAGCAATGGGTATTCAGAAACATTACTGCCTCTGACCATGGAGGTGGAGCATAGCTGTTGAAGGTCAGTAGCTATTGACAACTTTCTGTTCCATGCATTTATCCAATACTCCCTTAATGCCTTTTTATATTTTCTGTGGCAGCTCCTAAGCTGTGGAACTCCTTCCGCACAGAGGTTCATCTGACACCTTCATTGTATAGCTTTCATCATATGCTGAAGACACAGCACTTTCCTCTGGCATTTGACCCCTGAGATCTACTGTATATATGGTAGGGCCCATCTTACTCTTCTAATTGTAAATAGTTTAAACTGATTTTAATCTTGTATTTTTTTATTGTTGAAGGCAGTTAATAAATCCAATTAATAATAATACACCAGATATCAATTTATGATTCTGGTCATACTTTCTGTTGCATTATCAGTATTTAAAAATAGATTTGACCCTATTCAGATTGGAGATCCAGTTGATCTGACTCTGTCAGTAGTTCAGTACATCTTACTAGAAGCAGTCCAACTACCGTAATTTTGCAAGGAATTAGTTGAAAAGAGCTGCAGCTGGTGTTGGAGGACCGGCTCTGTAGCCATAAGGTCTGAGATTTAGTCTCTGCCATCTTCGGTTTATAATATTCTGTCTGAAGGGCTGGGAGATCCCTCTTCTTAAGACCTTTGAGAGCTGCTGCCAGTCAGAGTGAATTGCAGTGGGCTAACATGAACCAGCAGGCTGACTCAGTATAAAGCAATGTCATATGTTCAATTAGCTTTCCCCCTTTTCTGCCAAGTGAAAGAATTGGTGGTGTCACCTTTCATTGAAGGCTCTTTCTCCTTTAATAATGCATTATTCACAGGTGTAGTATCATCGTTTATTGTCACTGGGTGCTAAACTCAGAGCAACTGCCGGACGAAGAAATCACATTTACCCACTCATATTGCAAAGGTTACTACAAATGTATTTGGCAAAAATCTGTCGAGAGCACAATAGAGTTCTCAATACTGCATTTACCGGGGTAAGGGAGACGAGAGACATGGATGAAAAGGTAATGCAGGGTTTGGTTTGAGGCCCAATTTTATTCCCCAAGTATGTCTCTGGAATGTGTGATAAGAGCACTTTTGAGCATGTGCAGAGTGCTTTCCCCTGGGACTAGTGGGAGCCAAGAATTCCCCAAAAACTTGTTTCCAGGTCCAGCCCTGGGATGTATGGAATGGGATATTAATGTCTTTGCACTGTTGTGCTAAAGGAGTGCAGACTGATCGATATTATTAACACCATTTCCAGACATCACCACCACTATTAAGATTGCTATTTATCATTAGTAAAATATTCCCTGTGGCAATTTTCCTGGTATCATGTAGTCGTTTCGTAATTATATTCTACTAAGACATATTAGATTGATCCCTGACTTGAACAGGTCCTCCATTTAGGTTTTGCTGCTAGCTGTTACTTATTGGTGGCAGTTCCTGGAATCTGCTTCAGAAATGGCCATCAAGCCCTAGAATCAATCTCTGTTCCATATAGATTTATTTATGCACATTTAAGGCCCTCCCCTTCAAAAGGCTAAAGCTGTGTGAGAATAAAAAAGTGTCATAAAAATCCTCATTAAAACAGGATAAAAATGTACCAAGCTACAATTACATTTAAAATATAACATCCCCCTACCTGTAACCTAACCTTAACCTACAAAATCCAGCTCAAACAGATAGGTCTTACTGGAGATGTTCAGGCTTCGGGCCAGCCAGCATGTTACATTACTGTTGTGTTTTATGGCATGTTAGACATGCCTCTTTCTTAACAAAATCTCCTAGAGTGGGATCCTGGTGCTAGGAAGGCTTCTTAAAATACCCTCCTGCCTAATAGAAGCTTTATGGGGTGATTAACTGTAGGGAAAAGGAGGGCATGGAGGGGAGTGCATTTAAATGTCACAATCGAGATTGAGTTCCTGGAGCTGATTTTCGTAAAGGAGATGGCAAACTCACTCTTCAGCACCTTGCACAAAACACACTACAAACATTATTTGTAGCCACTGAGAATGAGTTAGAGGGCCACACACACTGCATATTTTGTCACCACTTTTGTCCAGTGGTGTATATCCTGTGCTCCCAGCAATAGTGGCTGTGTACACACCATACATTTAAAGTACACCCCCTCAACCGCAATCCTGGGAACTGTAGTGAGAGGTCACAGAGCTACAATTTCCAGAAAACTACAATTTTCTGGTTTCTTTTTGGCTTTATTGCGTGTGCAGGACTAGCCAATTGCCCGATGCCATACGGTAAGGTCCAAGGTCTCACTATTCCAGTACAAGCCCAGTGTAACTTCAGTGGTTCCCTATGGTGACTAGTGGTGGCTATCCACATATGAGCCTTCCTAGATTAGCAATGCAGAGCATTCTGGTATCCTTAAGCGCTACATCTGATGGAAGTTCCATCAGATGCAGCTTGTGCCATCACTGCTTTTGTTCTCCCAGTATAATTCTCCCTTCCATGTACCGGTAATTCGTACAGTCCCATCCTACCCCTGTTCACTTGAAAACCCCTCTGGGTGTCAGTATTTTAAAGGAACAGGGTCTCTTTGAGAACGACCCACCTGCATGAACAACTAAACAACTATCTGACTTTTAGAAGACATTTGAAGGCAGCCCTGTTTAGGGAAGTTTTTAATGTTTGATGTTTTTATCTTGTTTTTAATATACCCAGAGTGGCTGAAGAAACTCAGCCAGATGGGCGGGGTATAAATAATAAATGATGGTGATGATGATGATGAACAGGTGAGAGGAAATTCAGCAGGTGAACCTTGGGCAAAGCTTCACCTGATGAATTCCAACCTAGCCACCATGCAGTCACAAAGTGTGTCTCAAAGTGGTAGCCCTAATGAAGCTTGCTTACTTAAAGGCACAAGAGCACTGGCAGTGGGGAACGTTGGTAACTCCAAGAAGCGCTTGAGGCGGGCGGGAATCTGCCTGACGTCAGGCGGGCGGCGAGTTGCGCCTTTAAGGCGCTCTCCCCGCCCCGTTTCCAGGCCGCCGGACGCCCCGCCCCTCCTTCCAAGGCTGAACCGGCGGCGAGAGCAGCGCGATGAGAGGCTGCGAGCTGCAGGTGCAGGCAGGGCTGGCAGCGCGCTCTCGCACGGCGGCGTGGCGGGCATAGAGCACCTCGGCGGGCAGCCGTAGCAGAGCCCCCCGCCAGCCCGAGACCCCCGGAGGATCGGGTCTCCCCGCGCAGCAGGGGCTGAAGCAGACCATGTCGGTGGCGACCGGGGGCAGCGAGCCGGGGCCCGCCGCCACCGGAGGAGGCGGAGGGAACCGCGTTTTCTTCCAGAGCGGCGGCGGCTCGTCCCGGGAAGAGTCGGTGGCCCCGTCGGCGGCGGTGGTGCAAGTTCAGCAGCAGCAGCGGCGCCACCAGCAGGGCAAAGTGACGGTCAAATACGATCGCAAGGAGCTGCGGAAAAGGCTCGTGCTGGAGGAGTGGATCGTGGAGCAGCTCGGGCAACTCTACGGCTGCGAGGTACTCCTGGCTGGGGAACTGATCCCGGGAGGGAGGGAGCCTTCGGGGTGATCGGGGCCCGGATCCGAAAGGCAGGAGGGAAGGGCGCCCCGTCGAGGCCCCCAGACACACCCCACAGCCCTCCGCGGCTCCCGGCTGGCCGGAGCGCCCAGCAAGTAGGAGCCACAAGTACTTTAAATCCGCTCTCCCCGCCTCGGGAAGCGGCATCCTGGCGAGCAGGGAGCCTGAGCAACTCGCTGCCTCTCCAGCGCCTTCTACAAAACCGCTTTCCTGATTTGATCGCATTTTTTTTTAATTAACCTGCATGCCATTTTTAATCCTCTCATTTGCATATTGGGGATTCCTTTTCATCACGGTCGTTTTATAAATTGCACCGGAGTGTGAAGATCTCCCTGGCTGAGGAAAACGCCGGGAATGTGTGTGTGTGTGAATCTGAATGAAGCCACCTCTAAATGACATTCCCGTGTTCTGTCTCCCCTTCAGCTTCGCCCTCTTAAGGGTGTGTGTGTGTGTGTGTGTGTGTGTGTGAGAGAGAGAGAGAGAGAGAGAAGCTATGCAAGATTCCCACTTCCCACAACCAAATAAAAGGGCACGTTGTTGCCCCTTAAAACAAATCCGTGTCTATTTTGCCATAGGTGTGCTGAGTGGGGGGTTCTGGGTGTTCCTGCATGCGGCGCTTCTCCTCGGGATCATGTGATGCTCATTACCCTCCGCGCTTCTGCCTACAGCGGCTTAGCTCAAATCCTCGGCCGGCAACGCGGAGGAGCGCGCTCACTTCTATGAATGGTTTATTTGCCTCTTCCTTGGCTCAAAACCCCACCAGCCTGCTATACCACGTACTGTTGATAATGATATTCATTAGTGTACGCGGAGCTGTCGGTTTGCTAACCTCTCAGTGTGATCTCAGATCGCAGGTTTAAAGTGCAAAGAGATGGAAACTGTTTTAATATCTGAGGCCAGCCTTAATTTGTTAGGCTAAGTGGGCTCTCCGCTTTCGGATAATGCGTAAAATGGGGAGGACATCGCAACCAGTGAGTGCTTCTGTCAGCCTTGCATACTAACTAGAGGTCGTATGTTACTAGATGTTTCTGTAAGGAGAGGAGCATGGGAGGTGGGGTGGAGTGATTAGATATATTTTTAAATCGTGAGTGTTGCCTACCTTAATCTTGTCTGTGGTCAACTTAGTGCCAGAGAGAGAGAAAATAGATCAGTGTCTTTGGGGGTTCATTGCAACGGAGTTGGCAGTCCTTTTCTCCTACAGAGACTGTTTCATGTTGGAGTTCGGTGGAATGTGTCCAGGCTTGTGCTTGAACATGTTAAATAAGAACGTTGCTTATTCCTTTACTTACATGTTGGGAATTTTCCTGGTGAAAGAACAGTGAGTGACAGTTCAGTATGTATAATGGGGAAAGCAAGAATCAGCTTTCCTCGGGGATGATGAGTTGTCCCTAAGGACAGGTTAGCAAATAGTGTCTTGCACAATTTATATTTGATTGGAAGAATGAATGCTTGATTTCTAGCAGGATTGAATTGCTTTTGGACTTGCATTCTTTTGATTTTGCTATGATAGTTAGCTTCTGTTCAAATAGCAAATTGGAGAAAGAGAGGTTGTGTTATTTCCGACTATAAATTTCTTAAAGAATTAAATGAGTACTGTAACTATATTACTTTCAGGACATATCTGAAGGCAGCCCTGTATAGGGAAGCTTTTTAAGGTTTAATGTTTTACAATGTCTTTATATATGCTGGAAGCCACCCAGAATGGCTGGGGCAACACAGTCAGATGGGGGGGGGAGTACAAATAATAAATTATTAGTATTATTACTATAAATAACAGCTGGGAAGGGGGTTATGATTTAGATCAAAACCTTGGTTGTTTGGGAAATGGAGACTTGCAACTCTGCACTATTTTCCCAATGAAAATTATCCCCCACTCTCAAGCTGCTATTTCCCCAATACCTTGTCAAGGGGGACACAGGTATCATACCTGTAATATTGTCCTTTGAAACAAAGAAGCTTATGGTTGATTGCAATTGGGATTAATGGTTCCAAGGTGGGGCAAAAAAAGCCAAAACTCCTTTCCTCATCCCACCCTGACCCCCATGGTCCAGATTCAATTCTCTTTTCCTCTCCCAAATTTGTGTGCTGTTCAGTTGTTGTTGCTTTCAGCAATTTCAGAAATTGACTATTTACAGACCTCCCACATCTAGTTCTAGTGATGACCTTGGAAGTCTAGTTGTCATTGAGGTGGCAAACCTGAATCTCTGCTGAAGTATTTCAAACTCAGGGTGAGAGCTCATTGAATGTAACTCCATACAAAAATCCTGTGGAATTAGAAAACTTAAGTTAGGGCAAAGGGTGGTAGCCTAGTCAACTCACTGACATGCTAGTGTTTTGTAGCAGCTTATCTCCCTGCTGCAATGCTCCATGTGCACACACTTAAAGACCCCCCCTTTTTTGTCTCACTGAGGGCCAAAGTGGAGGTAGTCGTGATTGTTCACACATTCAGCATATTAATGGATAAAGGTCTACTTTTGTCACAAAAAGAAGTATGCTGGGAAAGAGACTTGAACTCTTTACACTTTGCCTCACAAGTTTCAGGCACTTCCCTGCCTGTTTCACTCCAGTACATGAGGTGAACTTGGCTGGAGAGAGCAGTCATTGAATGGGAGAAGGGTAAGACATTGGGGGAGGTTCAGAATTGGACACCTCCCCTCCCTGCTTAATATGTGAATGAATTAAGCAGAAGAGCCTTGTTGGATCAGGCTGAAGGCCCATCTAGTCCAGCATCATGCTCTCACAGAAGCCTGCAGGCAGCACCTGAGGGCAATACAGTGGTACCTTGGGTTACAGACGCTTCAGGTTACAGATGCTTCAGGTTACAGACTCCGCTAACCCAGAAATAGTACCTCGGGTTAAGAACTTTGCTTCAGGATGAGAACAGAAATCGTGCAGCAGTGTCAGCAGGAGGCCCCATTAGCTAAAGTGGTGCTGCAGGTTAAGAACAGTTTCAGGTTAAGAACAGACCTCCAGAACGAATTAGGTTCTTAACCCAAGGTACCACTTTATTGCTTTCTCTACTTGTGATCCCCCAGCAACTGGCATTCAGAGGCAAGCTGCCTCTAACAGCGGAGGTGGAACATAGTCATTGTGTCCATTGTAACCAATGATGGTCCTCCATTATGGCACTCCACATGTAGCTACTTCTATAGCATCTAGAAATAGGCCAGAAAAAGCATTTGGGATGAATTCTCCTCTGTTTTATGTTCTAATGGCTTCTTGGGCATCTAGCCTAACTGAAAGCTAGTAAAGAATTAAGAACCTGAGGGCAGGCTTCATTAGTTTCTTGCAGCACACATCAAAGGAAAATGTCTAAATATTAATGCAGTGTAGAATATACATCTTCCATTGTTTTAAGTGAAGTGTACTGTCGTAGCTGGAAGAAGCTTTGTCAGTAAATTGTGCCAATTTAGATCTTGTTCTGATGGTTTTGTCTTATTGGGTGGAGCTGCATAGTGCAACACTTGCACAGCTTGTCAGGGGCGTTATTCTATACAGCTTTAGTTGAGTTAGGTATGGTGTTCAGTGCTTTGGCAAGACTGGTCAAGGAATCACCTGAAGTCTGCAAGATGTGAATGTGAAATGTTGCCGTGTCCTTGCCTTCTAACTTGAGTGCTTCTGTTCAAAGTGCCAGCCAGCCTCAATGATATGGAAGGTTCAAGTGGGAGAATTCATGTCTTCCTGCCCCACCTTCCACTAAAGACTCTGTGGCTCTTGGGGGAGACATTGAGTGTTGCTCATTCCTCCTTTGATCGTTTTTGGAAAGTGTGTTTAGCCCCTTTAGGTGCATCAAGGCAAGTGGTAATTTTACTGACCGTTCGGGTTAAAATAAGAAAAGTAAAATATAAATACAGTATATAATTAGTGCATAAGCATAATTAATTTCAGAGACAGGAAATGACTTTGGATTCATACATGTGTTAGGTATAATTATTGTAAAATAAATGGTTAATGAAGCTGCAAGTTCTTATGCCTACAGGAAAGCAAATCCTCAGACAGATTCTGATGATTAAATGTTCAAGCCAGAAACTTGTTCTGATTTCTTCTTCTTGCCATTCTCATTGGGGGGGGGGGGAGATTGTAAAAACCTATTCTATTCCAGATAATACTTTCAGCAAGAAAGGTAGCATTAAAGTTGTGCACTTTTAACATGTTGGTGCTTAATAAGCAAGTTCTTTAATCTGAAAAGTTCACGTGTGTTATTGGCAATAACACACATTTGAATATTTGGAGCCTCTGAAAGGATGAGGCTAGAAAAGTATGCTAGAAAAACCTTGTTGATACTTGTAAGATCAGCTTGACTAGTCCTCTCTTGGATCAAAAGTGAATACTATACATTTGCTAGAATCTGATATGCCTCAGGCTTGCATTGCTGGAATTGGTTTGGCCCAGCTCAGCTCCATGCAGGCACTGGCACCCACAGATCATGAGATGGTACATGGGAGAATGTGTGAACGGGTGAGCATTCCGGTGTAAGAGTTCTTCACTTTGTCCCAGGTTAAAGGTAAAGGGACCCCTGACTGTTAGGTCCAGTCGTGGCCGACTCTGGGGTTGTGGCACTCATCTCACTTTATGGGCCGAGGGAGCCGGCGTACAGCTTCCGGGTCATGTGGCCAGCATGACTAAGCCACTTCTGGCGAACTAGAGCAGCGCATGGAAACGCCATTTACCTTCCCGCCAGAGCGGTACCTATTTATTGACTTGTACTTTGACGCACTTTTGAACTGCTAGGTTGGCAGGAGCAGGGACTGAGCAATGGGAGCTCACCCCGTCGCGGGGATTCGAACCGCCGACCTTCTGATCAGCAAGCCCTAGGCTCTGTGGTATAACCCACAGCACCACCTGCGTCCCTTTGTCCCAGGTTAGGCAGAACTAAATGTTAAGCTTACAGATCATAGCCATGGTAGCTGGTTTATAACACTGCGAAGGCTTTATCCAGGCATTGGCAAACTCGGCCCTCCAGATGTTTTGGGACTACAACTCCCATCATCCCTAGCTAACAGGACCACAGGTCAGGGATGATGGGAGTTGTAGTCCCAAAACATCTGGAGGGCCGAGTTTGCCTATGCCTGGCTTTATCAGATGGAAAATCCATAATGGCCTGTTGTATGATCTGCCTTATCTACACACATCAAAATACTTGTGGTGTTATTTTGGTACTTGAATATCTTTATTAACCTTAAATGCTTTTGGACTTATTTTAGATATAGCTTCCCTGGTATGCCACTTCTCCTAGCTGACTTCAAGGGCAGATGTGGTGGTGGATGCAGATGACTAAGTTTTCATTAGTAACTAAGTCCAAAAAAGCCTCAATTGAACTACCTTTTTTGTGGAACTGGACACTTCCACAAAAAAGGGAAAGCATTATTCAGTGCTGGGAAATTCAAATCCCCAGTACCGCTAAGACTTTTTTGGGTACCAAGGATGCTAGGGTGATGTAGTAAACTGGCTGGACATTATGCAGTGTCTACATTTGGGGGAAGGCTTGTGTGTGCATGAGAGGAGGATAAGGGCTCTTGTGCAAGGATCTAAGCCCACATGGTAGCGATTGTTGAAGACCCTGTGCTGCGCCTCTGCATATTAAGCTTCACTTGCATATGTTTTTGAGGGATCTCTTCACTTTCTTTCTAGCAACTTCAACAGCATAGAGATGCAGACCAGTGCTCAACAAGAAGCCAAGTTCACACTGTTCTATAGCTTGTCATAACCCTTGCCTAAAGCAGTAGCCTTTGCTCTGATGCGGAGTTGCTGGCTGGATCAGTGGCAGATCTGTGGACTCAGAACAGCAACCTAGGCCCCAACACTGATGGCCAGCCCAATCATTAGTCCAGTGGCACTGGAGGACAACCCAGGTCCCAGCATCATGACCAAGCCTGAGCCCCACAGATCAGGAGCAGTGAAACATGAGACTTCCCACCCCCACAGGTCTCGGGAGTTTGTACTCTCTAAGCATGCATCTCCTGAGTAACCACCCCCCAAGATCCGGAGGGACCCACATCCCCACATCCCCAAATCACTTTGTCAATTCAGGGAGCACACCTGGATGGACTTCTCAGAAGGGCTCTAAACCAGAGGCAAAACATTCCTTCTGGTCTCAAGATGCAGACAACAGCTAGTATCTCATAGAAACCACTTGTGGCCACGTTAAAGCAGTTTCCTAGAACAATTGTTCCTGGTGGCCGCATCTGGCCCTATTTGAGAAACGGTGGCTTAGACAAGATAAATGCACTGCATTGCAAAGCAAGGCTGATGACTAATGTTGCGACTGGCTAACTTTGCCCTCCAGAATCTTAAGTGCAGGTCATTCCTCTTAATAGATTGTAGTGGGTCTGTGGATCACTCACGCAACACGGCTCCTAGAAGCTGCAATTTTAATAAGGTTTAGTTTACGACAAAGTAGTTTGCAATAAAGCTTGCAAACAAAGTGATGTTTAAAGCTATAAATATTTTCTGACTTGACTCTTCAGAGAATGGATCATATCTGGAAAGTGTTGGGTAAAGACTTTAAAAGCATTCTTTATGGTGCCTGTTACTTTAAAAATCTTGAAACCTGATGTGAGTGAGATGATGATCTATATTTAGAACATAAATAAATCATTATTCAGGGAACCCTTGTCTTTTCTATTTTTAAAGTAATGGATATGGTAAAACAGAAGGAAGTGATTTCAGGATGGCTAGTTACTACAGTAAGAATGCAACTTAATTACTACAGGAAAAGGAAAATGTTCAGTTCAGTGTGTATATGCCCCCGTCTGATCAAAAGAATCTTGAAACATGATGAGGTTCATTTCTAAGCCAAGTCCCAAACACAATAGTGTGTGTGTGTATGTGTGTTAAACAGGGTCACATCAGAATACATATCAGCCTGTTTGTTCCAGGGACTCTAAATGGATTGGCTTGATAGAAAAAAGCAATCTATACTTCATACATTCATCATTGTCTAGCATATTGAGGTGGGATTAATATACAATAAGAGTGTTCATTTTGTAGCTAATAAAAGTGGAATATTGAAGCCGCTACAGGAGAACTGTGTTGTTCAGCCTGCTAGCCAAAGCATCATGGTGAATTATATTTGGGGCACTACTTTGCTGCTCTTGGAGCATTTGGCTCCTTGCTCTGGAGATGATGGTGTGGAAGAAGGGCTCATGGGTAAAGTCATTGTTGATAGTATGGAGCTAGAATGGACCAATGGTCTGACAGTTATGGCAGCCCCTGAAGGTGCACTTTTACTGCTGCTTTGGAAAGTGACACCGCTTGTCACATTTTCCCCTCTGGGCAGCCCATCTCTACCACGATGCCATCCTTTGTGGAACTGTCAAAATGCCACATGAAATATTTCAGGAGAAATATGCTTCTCTGTTTGATTACTCAATTGGGTTGAAATTATGCTTTAATTGCTTTATTTTAACCTGCTTTTAGGGTGCATTCCTGAGGGCCAAAAAGTTGCACATACAATTTATTTGAAAATAAATAAAAACCTCTTATCCCTGAGGAAATGAACTTGCAGTGGCTTAGAAGATGGGCAGGACACCCACACTTCTATCCAAGATACGTATTATTTTTGTACAGAAGCTCCAATAAGAAGACCTCTGCTGGATCAGACCAGCATTCTGCATTCTCATAGACCAACAAATAATATTGCATGCAGACGTGTATGAAAATAGGAGCTGCGCTACTCCGGAAAGTGTGCTCATCATCCTGTTAAGTACACAGTCTCCTCTTGAGGAGCAAACTCAGAAGGGCGTGTGACAACTTTTGTCAGTCGGAAGCAGAATTATTAATTGCAGTATTTATCTCGCCCTTTCTCCAAGGTAGTGTATATCACACTCGCCTTCATTTTGTCCTTGCCAAACTGTCCTGTGGGTAAGTTAGGCTGACAGAGCATGACTGTCCCAAGGTTACCTAGTGAGCTTCCTGGCTGACTGGGGATTGCTCAGCAGTCTAACCCCTACCCGCCTGTGCAGTGTACTGACCGACTGAGCAGCTAGGATATCACAAAGGATCCTCCTACTGTTGAACAGTCTTGTGGCTTATTCTAGAAAGCGGGGGAGTTGGACACCAGATGATAGTGCAAATAATTCTTTTTGATAAAGGGAAAAAGGCACAGGGGAGAAGGGCAAAACTGACAAGGACATCATCTTTTGGGGTAGAGACAGGTAAGTGTGTCTTTTGAAGCATGAAAGTTTGGAAGGCATATTCACAGGGGTTAAAAAACAAAAACCCACCTGTGTTGACCACTATTCTTATGTGCAGCTGTGTATGCCCTACATTTCACACCATGGTGTGGGATTTTGGTTTGACTGGGTGATCTTTGGGATTCTTTCCAACTCCAGAGCTCGAATTTGTTGATAGTCTTGGTAAAATTGCCCATTTCTTTCCCTTTGTTCAGGAGATTAGCTGATGGCTGTCAATAGCAGGCTTTAGCAGTGACTAAGAAAATAGCCCCAGACTATTTGGAGAAGAGAACCATGTCTGTCTTCCTCCTTTGCCTGGGGATGTTGTTTTTAACTCTATATATGAAGGCCTGGCAGTTTGGGAGAAAGGCAAATGGGAGCTGAGTTGGTTTTGGAAGCATTTTGAGGTGCTGGTTGTCCCTGATGTGGCGCTGAACATTGGAACGTGGTAGAGCATTTTTATCCCATTTATTTGTATATAAGCACAAATATTACAAAACACTGCTGGCCTCATTCCACAGTAGACTCAAACTTGAGTAAGCACTACGCTCCTGAAGCTTCTAACCACCCAGAAATTGGGGAGCTTGTAATAACATGATTAGTTTCTTGGATAATTCATTATTTCACGTAGTGCTCTCGCAAATTGTATATCTGTGTTGATGACAATTAACTTGCAGAAATATTGTAAACCCAGTTTCCAGTCGAAGTTGAGCACATACTTGATGAGCTCCTGGGATATAAAAGTGCTTCACTTTGAATCTAACCTGGTTAGAACACAAGGTTGAAGGATAGTGTCTTGGGGCCCCTCCAGATATCCTGTTTATTGCACATTCATGATGATTTGTGCTTACAGTGCTACTGGAGTCATTACGCGCAGTCCTGCTCTCAGTGCTATTTGCACATGCAAAGGTTTTGGGATGGTCACACTTCTTCGTTTCCAATCGGTGCATATTCTGTAACTTCCACTGAAATCCCATCTCTCTTTATCAGGGCTTTTTTTAAGCTGGAACTTGCTGGAACTCAGTTCCGGCACCTCTCGGGTGAGCACCAGTGCCATTATAAGAGAACAAGGGAGGCCTTCATAGTGAGTCTCAGCACCTCTTTTTCCAGGAAAATAGCATACCTCTTTATACCACAAAAGCAATTTTTCGGGCTGCTTTTGTTGCACCATAGCCCCTCTGAACAGCAGCAATGTGGTGGCACTGTGGAAGTATTGCTGAGCAAGCTAAAGCAGGATAAATCCAGCACTAATTCTCTATTATTGTGTCAAGAAGATGTTGCAGGATACGCATGTAATAAAACAGGTGGGGAGAGGCCCTTGATTTAAAGACATGATACTGAAGTGGGTAGGGAAATGTTTTGTTCAGGTGTTGGCAGTGGCGTAGCGTGGGGGGTGCAGCCGCACCGGGTGCAACATCTGGGGGGGCGCGCTCGCGCTCGCACTCGCAGCTCTCTGCCCCTACCGAGTTAGGGGGCGCAAATTACTTGCCTTGCCCCGGGTGCTGACAACCCACGCTACGCCACTGGGTGTTGGGAATGTTTGGCTCTCCAGGTGTTGCTGAAATACAACTCCCATTAGCTCCAGTAAGCATGACCAATTGCCTGGGATGATGGGAATGGGAGTTCAGCAATATCTGGAGGGTCAAAGGTTTCCCACACCTGGTTTTGTTGGGCATGTGCTTCACCCAGTGGCGGAGCAAACCAATTGGGTGGTGTGCGTCCGTGCCCTGCACCCAGGGGCGGAGCCAGCTGCCTGTGGGGGTAGGGCCAGCCACTTGCAGGGCGGAGCAAGCCAGGGCAGGACACTCTGCAGGGCCTCCGAGGAGTCTGCCTGCCTCCTCCCACTCAGCTGCCCTACAGCTGAGGGGGAGGCAGTGGGCGGACTGTTTGGGGCAGCACGGAGCCTGTGGGTGCCCAAGCCATCATGTCAATCCCAGGAGAGACACATGGCTTGGGCACGTTGCAGGCCCCGAGGTGAGTGCTGCCCTGCATTTTGTCACTCCCCTCAGTGGTGACACCTGGGGAGCCCCGCCCCCACCACACCCCCCTTCCACCGCCCCTGGCATCACCCACTTTAACGTATTTTCAGAGTCTGTGCCAAAATTGGAGTAATTGGAGGGTCTCCTTGCACCCTCTTGCTAGTAAGAAAAGAATATTTTTTGGTGTACTGTTTCAATACATGAAAAGAGTTTAGTTGCAGAAACTAAAGTGATTCTGAATAGCGTATTCTGAGTCAATAGCAGACAAATTGCCATTTGTGCAGATGTGTAGGCTTTTCTTACACCTACATTCAGAATCCAAAAAACTCACAAATTTGACTGGATACTACAGATTCTGTCATTCAACATTTTGGAGGGCAAAGCTTTTTGTGACCATTCATGTAAGATAAAGAAGGAGGCAGCTGTCCAATTCAAAAGTATATGATAGAAAAGTGATTATTGTAAAAAGCATATGAATATTCTTTATCCATTATTTTTGTGTACTTTATGCAGTAAGTATTGTACTGAGCTGTTCTCAGTTGGCAAGGCAGGGAAGGGGTTAACTAAGCCAACAAACTTAAAGCCCCCTCAGGAGTGGATACTCCTCCCAGTTTCAGGAATTATTTCCTGTCTGCTTCCTCAAAAGTAATGTAAGGACAAGGGAAGCAGTATGAAGGAATGACAGTAATTGTTTTATGGGCTAGTAAGGGTAAAAAAAATGTTGTCCATACCTGGTTACCACAGTATCTGAAATGAACAGTTTTTGTTGAGAAATTGTGCCCCAGATTAAATCCTATTGACTTGTTTGGAACAAGTGCCTACTCTGAGGATCAAACTGGTTTTTGCAGAACTCCAGGGTTGAGGCTCAGTGGCAGGGCGAGTGCTTTGCATGTAGGTCCCCGATTCAATCCCCAGACTCTGAAAGACTAAAACCTGGATAGTCACTGGCAGTCAGTGCAGACAATACTGAGCTAGATGGATCAATCGTCTGCCTCTGTGTAAGGCGGCTTTCTGTCTTCCATCACTTTCTTAGCAGATCATCATGCTGGGTCCTGGGTGTTTTTTTTGGTGTGCTGCTAAACCAGGAATAGGCAAACTCCAGCCCTCCAGATGTTTGGGACTACAATTCCCATCATCCCTCACCACTGGTCCTGTTAGCTAGGGATGATGGGAGTTGTAGTCCCAAACATCTAGAGGGCTGGAGTTTGCCTATTCCTGTGCTAAACTGATGAAAGTCTTCAAGATGACATCTTAATACATATGCTGTGGCAAGATCACGATTAGAGAAGCCTTCATTTCCCTGTTCATACAGCATCTGAGGGTGGCTCCAACAGTAAAGCTATGGATATGTATGTAACATCTGGAATTGGTGTCTGCCATGTTAAAAAGCAAGTCAACAGCTCTTTAAGTGAAAACTGCCGAAATCACCTGCAACCAGTCCTTAAGTGGCACTTCATACTGAACAAATTCCTCAACACTGCTGTTATAGATTGTGGTGAAATCTGCTGAACTAGGTGTAGGTCTACTTCAAGTAGCAAGGTTCTCCAAGTTGACGGCATTCTTCAGACTTGGAAGTGGCTGTCAAAGCTACTTATTCCATGATTAATATTGGATTGAGTTTAAAGCATGTATTTCCTCCTCTGGCATTCGGAGCATGGCATGCAAGAATGAGGCTATGCAAACAGTATAAATGAGTGGCTGCAGTTGTTCCCTAGATCAGAGGAGTATTTCAGGCTTGATCAGTCTCTAATGAAATTATACTATATTGTATATTCTCCATGTTGGGAAAGCTCCTTCATAACACATCATCTTCTTCAGAATACTTTCCCTGGGCTGCAATCCACTCATTCCATTCTTCTCTTCTCTTCTCTTCATGATGACCCTTCACCTGCCAATTGGGGTTACAGTCCAAGTTTGGGGAAATTAAACCTTGGTGGATTATCTCTATTTAAGCAAGGCCCATCTTGTACCGGGGTAAAAAATAAACATATACTATGCATAGCTAGTCTCATCAGGCTCCATATATATATATATATATATCTGTTTTAAAAAATGTACACACATAAATAATAAAACATAACATGACTGACAAAAAAATGGGTCACTAGGAGGGTAAAATACTAAACATATTATTTTACAGTGCATAATAATGAGGTGATGACAGTAAAGCAGTTCACTGAATTCTTCCATAAATCAACTTGGAAAACACAGAATGATATGCAACAGGCTACTTTCTGTATGTATAAGAGTAGATTAGAGGAAAACTTGGGGATTACATTCCTGTACTCTCCAGCGATGGGAATCCTCCTCACTGCACAATTGTCATCCTCATGGCATAATTTAGCCAGCAGAAGTCCTAAAGCGATTTATAGAAATTACATACACTATATCATCAAATAATGATTAAAACAATTTAATGGAGAACAAATATTCTGCAGTTTGTATTGCAGTTTCATCTTCAGTATTTGGTATGTAATGAACCTGAACCACGAAAATATGATAATGCAAACATTAAGAAATCTAAACATGGAAATACACTTTTGGGGAACATGTACACTAAATAATAATAATAATAATAATAATTTATTATTTGTACCCTGCCCATCTGGCTGGGTTTCCCCAGCCACTCTGGGCGGCTTCCATAGAAACAAAAAATACAGTAAAATATCACAGATTAAAAGCTTCCCTAAAGTTATTCTCTAACAAGATACAGGATACCAACTCTTATAAGAAAGAGATGAGTTACATATTGTTGCTCACCACCCCAATATTTGAGCAGTGCAACATTCAAAAGGGATTCCGGGCAGTTACCCAGGGTTCTTTTTTCCTTCAGAATGCGATACAGCGGAGACCGTAGTGTCTTTAGGATGTATGGTTTATTTTCACATATATACAACCTGAACATACAACATCAACATCAACAGCCCGAGAGGATCTTGTTCTCCCAAAGCCCCAGCATTGGATTCAAGCAGAAATCATACATCCCTCTGACTTTCTTTGACTTCCCAGTCTGCAGCCCCCCCCCCCCGCTTCTAGTGCACATTACTCAACTCTCAGCTCTCAACTCTGCCTTTGTTCTTCTAGCTACCCATGAGTTGAATGAGGGGCCCCTTCCCGTTTGTCTTCTCATGCATAGCCCCTTCCTTTGTTCCCTTAATGGCCCATTACCTGGGCTATCACCTCACCAGGCATCTATACCATGAATGAGAAGGGGAGCCAGGCATTCTGCCTACTACTCCCCCGAACTCAAGACAATGTCTTGCTTGCTACTTCTTATAACAAACTAAGGTGTTTTGGCATTACAAATGTTGTGTTAGCATATCTTGAGAGCAGATTTCATTGAAGCTAAAGAGGCTTTCAAATAAAGGCTTCATGTGATACTGTGAAATGAACATTTTCCTTTCAAGTGTTGTGTCTTCACAGGTTTAATAGTGAATCAACATAGGCTGTATGGCTAGATGTTAATGGCACACAAGTGTGTGTAAACTCATTTTGTGACCTACTTTAAATCTGGCTTGTAGTGTTTTTCCATCTCCTGGAATTTCATTCATGTTAGCCAATGACTGATGTATTAATATTTATATTTGTCTGCACCTACTTCAGTGAATGCTTCTCACCTGACTTATCTGCTGTGCACTTCAGAATTGAGCTGGTTGCTATGGTTACCTACAGTCCTGGTTCAGAGGCTGCATAAACAGTATGTCGCAGGCCTTTTGCAGCATTTAGGGTGGGTTCTCATGTACTAAAATCCTCCCTGAATTTGCAAAATCTAAGTAATTACTGGCCAATGGCCAATACCTGGACATGGTTCTTGAGCAGGTGGTCACAGACCAGATCCAGGCGCGCTTGGAGGAAACTGATTTTCTAGATCCATTTCAGTTGGGGTTTAGGCCCGGTTTTAGCACAGAAAGTGCTTTGATTGCTCAGTATGATGACCTCTGTTGAGAGAGAGAGAGAGACGGGAGAAATGTGTCCCTCTTAATTCTCCTTGACCTCTCAGCAGCTTTCATACCATCAACCATGGTATCCATCTAGAGTTGCTGTCTGACTTAGGGGTGGGTAGAACTGCTTGGCAATGGTTGTGGCCCTACTTTGGATGGTCATTTCCAGAGGGTGATGATTGGGAAGTGCTGTTCAGCTCCATTGAGCCTTCAGTGTGGGGTTTCTCAGGGTTTGATTTTACCCCCCGTGCTGTTTAACATCTACATGAAACCACTGAGTGGGGTAATCCAGAGTTTTGGAGTACATGGTCAGCAATATGGTGATGACACACAGCTCTGCTTCTCCTTTACATTGGCAGGTGTGGCAGTGGATGTGCTAGACCTTTGTCTTGCCTCAATAATGGATGGGATGAGAGCCAACAAACTGAGGCTCAGTCTAGATAAGACTAAGGCACTATTCGTGGATGGTCAGACTGGGTGGATGGGAGGTGGCCTGCTCTTGATGGGGTTAAAACCATTGGAATGCTTTGTTACATATCTTTAGGCACCAGGCAAAACATTTCTCTTCTCCCAGGCTTTTGACTAATTAAACAATCTATGGCCTTTTAAACTGGAGAGGTATTGTTTTTGTTTGTTCCTGGGTTATGTATCTTGGTGTTTTTATCTTGTATAAAAATTAAATAAAAAAATGTACTGAGAAATGCCCAATCTACTTGCTTTTCTTTGTGGTATTTGATAATATACATTGTGTCTGTCATGTAGTGTTGGCAGCAGATCAACGCTGTGTGACAGTATGTAATGTTTTGCAAAGGTTATCCATGCCTAGCATATTTGGTGATACCACTGATAACAGCAAACAACTTTTAAAACTCTTTAGCTACTAGATCAATTTCAAGTAAAGCTGTAAATGTTAGTGTATTGTTTTCAGTTTGTCCTATTGACTTCCATTCTGCTGTAAGAGAACTGCTTGCACTCCCTATTTCTGTTGCAAATATGGGTTTTGATGAAATATTAGTGGTCTAGTAGGAGGCGTTAAGGTCACCTTTGACTTTAAGAAAAACCTGTTACACTTATACAATGTTCTTGTTTTTGTGTGATTGTATAAGGTGGGGTGTGGTAGCCCTTCCCATTGGCTATTTAGACAAAGGCATTTGTAAACATTGCAGTTATGGTTAGGCATTTGCAATCAGCCTTTGCTTTTGAATAACTGCTCTTAAAAATCCAGCTTTGGTTTTAGTAGGATGAGCATCTTTGTAGGATCTGGACAAGTATAAACCTAGATCTATGTACTGCAGAAAAGTGAAGTGGGGAGCAAAGATGCTAAATGTCCTAGGTTGGCAACATAACAGCATTTTTACACACACATCCCTGCCACACAAACACACCATCTTCCTAAAACTCTAGCTAAAGTAGCACATACAGGTAGAACTGTATTCCATGTTCTCTTCATGCTTTCTTACCATTAGCATGGTGCTGAGTCTTCTCTGTGCTTGTTCCTCATTTGTGGGAATTCCCTCTCTAGTGAGATGCATTTGTCTCTCTCATTGTTAATTTTCAGAAGGAATTTTAAAAACATTCCTGCCTACCTGGGCATTTGAGACTTGAAAGATGCTGTTCCTGGCAGTGCTGAAAGAATTGGCTGAGAGAATGTGATTGTTTTTAATGATACTAATGTGTTTGCCACCCTGGGCTCCTTTTGGAGAAGGACTGGGAAATAAATTGAATAAATAGTAATATGACATTTAAGGTATTTTACAATGCTCCCCTAACATGCCAAACAAGTCTCATCTGCAATCTGAAATGAAAATAAAATATGAAAAGGCACAAGCATCTCTGGTGATGGAACATGGAATAGAACCGCTGTCTTATTTTACCTTACTGTTTTTTTAAAAAAGATTTTCATAGCACTCTTCATCATATCGAATTTCATGCTGGTGTAGAGTGCAAAACAAATTTTGAACAAAGTCCACATACTTTGATACCTCCATAGATCTCTGGGTCATAGCCAGGGAAGGATACATGCCCGGGGAAGGCTGTGCAAGGTAGTAATTTTTAACCTTTTCAGACTTAGGACCTACCTGTAACCCAAAACATGCATTTGGGAACCCACTTCTTCTTCCTTACTTTTTTTAACCCTATATTTGTATGATGTTGGTCATGTTGCTGCTGTTGCTACCGACCTTAGATCAGTCTATGACTCAATCATGAGTCTCAACCCAATACTTGAAAAGCAGTGGTCCAGGGAATATTCAAGTCCATCAAAGTTCAGCTGTGCTTTTTAAAATTAAAATCAAAAAAATGCATGATTAGCAGTGGCATGCAGTGAATTTTTTCACAGGGGAACAGTGAGGGCCAGAGGCAGCAGCTTGCGAGGATGATTGTGGGGCGGGGGCAATGATGTCATGCACATGAGCAGCACTACGTCCCTAAGCCAGGCAGAAGATTTGTGGGCTTTGGGAAAGAGGTGCCATACCTCTGACAGGATCCTGGAGCCCTCCTGCCTCCTTCCCGAAGGAGGTATCACACCTTCCTCCCAAAGCTGGGCAGAAGCTTCCTGGACTTTGGGAAGGAAGTGCCAGGGGAACAGTTAGGGGACTAGCTTAGTCCACTGACCGCAGGCCACTGATGACTAGCATTCTTTCAGGCAGAGAAATCAGGCATCCAGAAAAAGTGCTACCCAATTTCTCTTATGTAAACCTGATTCTAGTGATAGTCAACAAGCGTGAAAGCAGTGTGATGCTTGATGAGCACGCTTGTATTCATTCATTCATTTTTATTACATTGTTTTAACATCTTAATTTTGCTTCATATACTTAGATTTTTGTTTTTGTTTCCCAGCCCCCTTCCCAAACTGGCTATAACATGCGCATTCACATGCACATGCACACACTCGATCGCATGTTTGGCAGTTGAGGATTGAAAAAGCGCCATGCTCTGAAACATCTTACAAAAGCATGTTTTAACTATACTTTATGCAAAGTGCTTGTGAACTGTGTCAGATGTTCCTCCTTTGGAGCCCACCCACCAGGCCCATAGCTTTCTAGGTTGCTTGAAACTCCTCTTTCTTTTTGTGCTAACAACACATACCTGAAACAAAAATAACCTGGTTAAAGCAGACATTTTTTGTACGTAACGATTTCCTGTGTTTCAGAAATAGGCACAGTTACTAGGGAAAGCTGCACGACTACTCAGCCAATTGCAGAGTAGGTCAGGCCAGTTTCTCAATACTGTAGAAAGTTACTTAGAAATTGATATAACTTAGTTTACCTCCCAGGATGCATGGACAAAGGCTAACATTTATTAACAACTGACTTTGTTTTCATGCTTCTCAGTGAGAAAGCAAATATGTACAAAAATGGAAAACGAAAAGACGGGAGGGGGCTCCACATAACTCGAAAGGGTGGGCTGCCTCAAAGATGTTCCAGTGATGGCTCAATGATGGTCAAAACTCTTGGGACACTTGGACAACCGATTTAATCCATTCAAAGGAAAGCCAAACTTTTCTTCTACAAGAGTAATTGCCGGAAGATCGTTCTGAGTCTAGGAACCTCTCAGAAATTGGATTAGTACTGCAATGTAGGCAGCTTGTCCCTGAAGGTAAATAACCTACCCATTGGTCCATGAGAAAAAGTAATTCATTTGTTTCTCAAACGATTAGCAAGGATCATTTCCTACTGTTGACCAAATGTTACTAGTCTGAGTAGATATTACTGAGCTAAATGGACTAATAATATGACTTGTTATAGAGCATGTTTACATGAAGCTGATGCTGGGTAGACTGCTGAGTTCAGAAACCAGGGCACTGCTATAGAGAAGGCTCTGTCCTGAGTTGCCACCCCATGGGTCATACACATTGGCACTGTTCATGGCTTTAGTACACCAGTATCGAAACCTTGAATGGTGTGGTAGCTTACAGGGAGTGCAGTGCTTTCAGGGCCAGTGATGTATGCTCCCACCTAGCTACCCCACTCAATAATCTGCAGCTACATTCTTCAGTGGCTGCAGCTTCTGGACTATCTTCAAGGGTAGCTCCATGTTGAGTGCATTGCAGTAGTCCAGTCATGAATTAGAACCTGCTTGAGCTACATTCTTTCATTTGCTCAAATTTGCTCCCTTTGTCAGTAGGAACACTGTAATGTTAAATAGGGTGATGTCTTGAGAGACTAATAACAGCAGTTTTCCTTTCTTCTACTGCCTATGTCAGGGGTCAACAAACTTTTTCAGCAGGGGGCCGGTCGACTGTCCCTCAGACCTTGTTGGGGGCCAGACTATATTTTGAAGGGGGGAGGAGAACGATTTCATATGCCCCACAAATAACCCAGAGATGCATTTTAAATAAAAGGGCACATTCTATTCATGTAAAAACATGCTGATTCCTGGACTGTCTGCGGGCCGGAATTAGAAGGCGATTGGGCCGGATCCAGCCCCCGGGCCTTAGTTTGCCTACCCAGGGCCTATGCCTACCAAAGGCTAGCCTCCAGAACAGGTGTGAGGAACTGTTGGCCTTCCAGGTGTTGGTGAACTACATTTCCCATCATCCCTGGCCACTGGCCATGCTTGTGGGGACTGATGGGAGTTGTAGCTCAGTAACATTTGGAGGGCCAAATGTTCCCCACATCCACTCTAGAAACTTAGACCTGGCTTTCTCTAACCTCATCTGCATTTCAGGGGGTTGGACTAGATGACCCTTGGGTCCCTTCCAACTCTAAGATTCTGTGATTCTAATTTAATTCAGCTAGCTTCTCATAGCTTCTGCTTTGCAACATAATGTTGCCAGTCCTTCCAGGGAAACAATACATCTCTAACAGTCGACTTGTTCATTGAGCAATGTACATTTGGAAGATTTAACATTTAAATTGAATTTCCTACGGCACTGCAATACACCACATAGCTTGGTTAAATGTTGACTGGGCACTTAAATTAGTTGGAGTAGAACAGGCAGAAGGTTCCTTGGAGATCAGTTAGCCTCCCATTCATAAGTCTGATGAACATATTAGGAGCATTATGAAGGCTGAAGGTCATACCATTGATCTTATTATAAGCCTTGTCTGTTTTCCCTTTATCTTTTGCATGCATCACTAGCTGCTAATCACCTTGGGTCTGGAGAATGGGCAAGAGATTCTGAGAATTCAGGGTAAAAGATTCAGGGTATTATTCTTCTCAGCTGCATCCTTGAATTGCTAGTAATCAACACAAGTGGATGCAACCACCTTTCTTCCCCCCCCCCACCTTAAGTAAGATGGTTCTTTCCATGCTGCAGTTTATGATCAAGTAAACACACAGCCCCCAAAGACCTGAGTGGATTGCTAATGGGAGGATTTTGAATTTTAGCATTGTGCTCAGGACTTTACAGAATGACAGCACAATCAGTGCCTCCTAGTGAAAATCCTCTTATCAGGCTGTCTCAACAGGATTACTCTGCGGTAACTATAAGCTTTGCTTTTGACTTAAATGTTAATAGGGTAATTGTAGTTCTATAATAGAAAAAATGGATTCAATCTCCTTTGTGGTGTAAACCTATTTCTACCTATGCTTCAAATGACAGGCTTAATTACAAGCTGTTAGGCCCTGTCCCTTTCTTCATAGACACATACTAGTAGAAGGCATGGGTCTGTGCTTTGCGGCATGTGTGAATCAGGACAGTGTTGTGCTCCACACTTGTTTGTGGTAGGGCCAAATTAGCTTGTCCTGGCTTCTCCCTCTTCTTCCCACCGCCCCCAGTGTGTGTGTGTGTGCAAACTACTGATGAGTTTACACCAATGTTGGAACTGGCATCATTGCTGGCTGTTTTTGACTTTTGCCCTTTTAAAATGGAAGCCAACAATGTAAAAAACAGCTAAAACCTTAAGACAAAACACGATATTAATGTTCTTCTCTGCAATGTGCAAGAGAGAAATGTATAACATGCTTACATTTTGAATTTAGCTCCTAGCAGCATCTGCTGTTTACTTCCCAGGCAAAGTAATTAATAATGATCTGGCAAGATTTCATGCTGTTGAAAAGCTTGATTTCGTTCAAGAGCCAAACATATTATCTTCTGTGGGTCTTGATAAGCAAGAATTCTGAATCATGTCTAGAAACTTCTTTTTGAATAGTTAGTTAGAACTTAGTGCAATTTTAATAATTACACTTAAGGTTTCAATAGAACAGCTTGAAATGTAAAACTAGTCAAGCGGCTATGTAGCCCATGAAGCTGAATCAGCTTCCTGTTGCCTCTGAGCAGGTGATTTCCTAAATTACATAGAAGTGCAGACTTCTACAGAGCTCAGTTGGTTAGAGTGTGTTGCTGATAACGCCAAGGTTGCAGGTTGGATCCTTGTATGGGACAGCTGCATATCTGGGTTGGACTGGATGAGCCTCAAAGTACCAATGATTTTAATCCTTTGCAAAAAAAGAGAGTTGTCTCAAAGGTACATCCTCTCTGCTTGCAATGTGCTGACTAGCAGCTGAGCCTTGCTTGAGCATCTGTTTGCTGCGAGGGGTTACTCAGCAGAAGCAATTACTGGAGGCAAGCTGCGAGTTCCTTATTTGAGGAAGTTCAGCCTAGTCCTATACCAACTATCTGCTATTACCACATTTACATCTTTACAGTCAGCCACATGGTTTTAATTAAGGTCAGGGCACGGAGACCTGTCACTGTGAGTGATTTGGTTTTGCTAGTAGAGAGATGGAGCCCTGGATCTCTAGATAGTTTGGTAACCCATGGAAAAAGAAATTTGCTAGTGAGAGTGGGTGGAGTCACTTAATAACTACTCTGCCAGGATTCTAGATGGTCCATGTGGTGCCTACTTAGAACATTAGCTGGGGCAGATTCTTAGCTCTGTTTTCATTTGGAAATATGCAGCCAAATTCAGTATGAAGCAAGTCAGCACCTGCATTTCTTCCAGCATTCCAGCCAGAGACTATAAGCTCCTGTTTTGATTGTTGCCTCTTCATTGGTACATGATTGACTGCACTTTATAAACTGATTAGAATGGGATCTCTAAATGAGATAACATCCTGAGTTTAAAGGAATGTTTCCTCATAGGTGAAAATTGGTTCTCAGAAACTACGTTGTTTCTCTATAAGCACATAGCTGTTATGCATTTAGTATCTATGGTATGCTACAGCCATTTCTATATATTCAGGTCTACTCCTTTGCGTGTTGAAATGACTGCAGCTCCACAGATACCAGCAAGGAGTGTACAGGAAGAGGAGTCTGTCCCTAACGCATTTTCAGACTGTGCAGAGTAGCCCTGAATGTGTGAAAATGGCTTGCGGATCTGGGTTACGAGACTTAAGAGGCAGGTTAAGGATAAGGTAGACAAGTTAGGCTTTTAGACTTCAGAAATTTAAAGATGCTATTTGTTGTTAACTTGAAGCACCAGGTTAATTTCAGTTTAGTCTCGGATTTCGTAACTGGTAATATGGAGGCAGAAATATCCATGTATCAAGGTCACCAGGTTAATGTGCTAGATCAATGGGATAAAAAGGACTGACAAAACCCGGGACCAGGAGGAAGGGACGCTGGATGAAGATTGGATTGTTTTTATTTCTTTTTTTATCATTAGGATTGTTTTATAAAATTGATGAATGTTAGAAAAATGTTGAAATGAAATTACTTGGCTCTAGTAAAAATGTTTAAAGAATTAGGTAAGAATGTTATGGTTATGAGAAGTTGGTAAAAATAAGATTTAAGTTTTAAGCTTTAAGGTTTTCTATAAGATAAGATGAAAATAGATTAAGGTAATGTAATGACAGAATACTATGAATTATGGAAAGGATTTGCTGCGATAATTATTAATTAGGATACAAGAAAAGGGAGGAGGAGGAGGTCAAAGAAAGAAGGTAATGAAAGTGGAGAATTTGAGAATGATGGATTTATTTTTTCTTTTTCTTTTTCTGTTTTGTCTTTTTTTTGTAATTTTAATTTTTTTTTCAATAAATATCATTTAAAAAAAAAAGAAAAAGAAATATCCATGTATCCTTTGCCGCTCAAAGCCTTAAATTAGAGGAGGGGCTTTCTGTGCCATACAGGTGGGATCCTTTGTGAATGAGAAGAGGTTGTTGACTTGTGTTCACAAAAGTCTGGTCCTTGGGGCTTGGTGCCTTTGTGCCATTGTGAACAGGGACATTTTCTCTCCGCTGTGAATTATTGTATCCTGTGCCTCAGCCTGTTTGCATTGGCCCCAAAATGGTGGTGGGCTGCTTGAGGTGACCTGAGGTGAGATGGTAGGCAGCTACTTGGCTGAGAGGAAGAGGCTCACTTTCCACTTGGAGCTTGCTTAATAAGGCCAGGTCAGTCTATTTGCTAATTGATTCCCGGGGCAGGGGGCATTCCTGACATCAGAACTGCAAGTGCAGCTTATTCTTTTGCCAACCCTTCTGTCATACGGTAACTACTTGCTGAAGCATAAGAAAATGAGACATGCTTAGCTCATTCTTCCATCTTTGATGGAGGCCAGCCAGCTCAGAGTCAACAGGTGCTGTCTGTAATCTGGACAGGCCCCACGCCTCTTTAAAATTGGAGCCTAACTGAGCTCCCCACAGCAGCACTGGGGCTTCTGGGTCATGCTCTCACTTGAGGTGGTAGGCTGGGCAGCCATATTGGTGTGCATAGTAGCCTGGCTCCTTGTCTCATTCTTCCTCCACAGAAAAAGCTAGATTGCCCTCCCTTCCGTCCTGAGAGCCCCCTCATTTCTTGCTAGTTTGTTAACGCCACAGAAACTGGTCCCTCTATAGAAGGTGAGGCTCATGGCCTCTCGTTGCTCAGCCATGAAGTACCGTATTTTTCGCTCTATAGGACGTACTTTTTCCCCTCCAAAAATGAAGGGGAAATGTGTGTGCATCCTATGGAGCAAATACAGGTTTTCGCTGAAGCTCCCGCCAGGTTCCCAAGGCTTGCGGATAGATTCCCGAAACCCAGGGAGCGCAGCGCCGCACACCCCGGGCTTCGGGCATCTATCCGCAAGCCTTGGGAGCCCAGCGGGAGCTCCCACCAGGCTCCCAAGGCTTGCGGACAGCAGCCTGCAGCCTGAAACCCGGGGAGCGCAGCGCCATGCACCCCGGGCTTCTGGCATCTATGCGCAAGCCTTGGGAACCCGGTGTATTGTGTTTCCAATGACTGATCTGATTTTTCAGATTCCAGATCAAGGGATGACCTGTGGCCCTCCAGTTGTTGTTGGACTTCAACTTCAGCCAGCATGGCCAATAGTTAGGGACGATGGAAATCATAGTTTATCAACATCTGGAGGGCTACTGGTTCCCCACCGCTGCATTAGAGTGCTCTCTGCTTTTCAGGGCCAAGTTCATGGTCTCCCATGCCTTCAAGACATTGGAAAATCCTTTTCACATATTCTGAGTACCGGTATTTGCTACATGTTCTAGTGCACACCACTCATTAGCTTGTCTGATTCACTTTGATAGGCAACTGTTAGAGGCACAGGAGACTTAACACACAAATTTAAGCAAGTGAAGTTTTCCTTATAGCCTCACTGTGGAGAATTACTGTAAGACAATTGTTCAAGGCACAGGAGCCATGCCATAAAGAGAGAGGGCAACTCAAGGTCTCTTGTTATGTCTTTCTGTCTGAGAACAATACTACAAATTTGAAAGAAAGGGGCTTTCACTCAGGAAATGAACTGAGGCGATAGGAACTTAAGACTCAGAACTTGATATTTTTTAGATAATGATGTGGATTACTTTAAAATGTTATAAGCTAGCCCTGCTGTGCTTATGGGGTGGGGTCTTGCTGACTTTTTGCCCCAAAGTCCTGTCCTGAAGGCACCACTGTCATCAGTAAGACTCAGTGAACTCAAGCACTCAAGAGCCATTATTTTCTAGGGAATCACTCTGGTAGTAAGGCTTCTTTCTGCCCCTTCTCACTTCACTTCCAATGTTTCATATGCATATTCTGGTTCCCATTGGCATGGGCAAATTCCTTAAGTGCATAGTCCACAGAAAAGAATTTGACCAGGGGGCTGAAGCTGAAAAGCCTTTGTAATATGGTGGGCAACCTGCATTTGGGGAGCCGGAGCACAGCAACCCTAGAGGTGGGCATAACAACGTCATTCTGAATCCTGTTGAGAACTAACAATAGGCATCTTTGTATTGTTGTATATCTTCAGAAGCAGGTTAAATAGGCTTTCATAAAATAGGAAAGGAAATGACAGTCTTTAGACCCACACCTTAGAAATTCATGGCACTTGGCTTAAGGTTTCGTGACACTGGGTTTTCATTTAATACATGCAAGATCTAATTTAGATAAAAATGGTGTATGTTTGAGTCTTGTGTCTCTGCAATAGGATGGAATGTAATCATATTCTGCTGTGTGTTTTTCACTTAGGAGAAAATACCGTGTTTTGTAATCAAATGATGGTACTCCAACTAGTGTCCTTTGGCTCAATACTGAGATTAGTGCCAGTGATATCTGACACTATTAAATGTGCAGTTTTTCTGTGCATTTTGTTGTAATTAAAGGTAAAGTTGAAGATAAAGCTATATTGATTCATTTTCCATTCAAAGGTTGTTTTTTTTTTAACATTTGAGTTTTCGTTTTAAAACAAAAACAATTCCTCAACACAAAATTTATTCTTTGTAGCTTAGGCAGAAACCTAGCATTATGTTATGACAAACTATGTGTTTTGCACACCTAATGATCTGGGTGGTATTTTGCACAGAAGTGTTTTCCATGTACAAATTTTGTAACCAGCCACTTCAGTATCCAGAAGTGGTGACCTGGGACTACTACAAAGTTGTTTTCCGCCATGCTGCACCCAATTTCAAAACTGTTTGCTTATGCCATTTGTAAGATCATGCTGAGAATGTTTTGGCAGCGGGCTTATTAGAATAAAAGAGAGGTTTAAGGCAAGATGCAGCTGAGGAAAGCTTTTTTAAAAATCTCTTAATACTTTATTAAAATGAGTTGTGAAGAAGCAGGACTTTCAATCACTTCGGGTTGGATTGTTGTTTGTAAAACTTGGGTTGTAAAATGGTTGCTTTTTGCTTTAAAGGCACTTGAGCATAGGAAAGTCAAAAGTTCTTAGGGAGGTTAAAAGCACAATAGGTTGTTTTGCTTATAAAGGTTTTCACAGGAAGGTCTAGCGTTCATCCCAAGAACCTAGGGTGGAATCCATCATAGCACTTACGCAGTTCTGCTGTGAGAGCAAGGATTTCTGCTTGTGAAACAGAACGTTCTCCCCCTGCACATCCCCCAAATCTATTCTAGAAGTTCCCCCAACCCTCTGAAGCAGATTTGTGGAGGGTGTGGTACAAGCAGAAGAGGGGGAAGTCCCACTATGCAAGCGGAAATATTTGCACTTATAGGGCCCATTAGCCGAATGTTGCCCCTTTCAATTAAGGGGAAATGGAAACTTACCGTATTTTTCGCTCCATAAGACACACTTTTTTCCTCTTAAAATCTAAGGGGAAGTGTCTGTGTGTCTTATGGAGCGAATGTGTGGTCCCTGGGGCTGGGGGGGGAGGATCCGGGCTTCCCCTGCCAGCCCCGACCTGCTCTTTGGGGCTGGGGCTGGGGCAAACCCGGGCTTCCCCCCCCAGCCCCAACAAGCTCCTGAGCAGCTCTGGGGTAGCCTGCGAAGCCTCCGCTGGGCAGCGGGGAGCCTTCATCCCGCTGTCCTGGGGAGGCTTCGTGTGGCTATCCCTGGCTTTTGCGGGAGGTGGGGGAAGGGACAGAGTGAAGCCTTATGGTCAGGTGCGCCTTATGGAGCGAAAAATATGGTAACTAAGACTCCTCTCACCTCATGATTGACTAATGGGATGGGAGAGGAATTTATTTTTTAAATCTGCCCTTATGTGTAGCTACTCAAACTATTCAACTAAATTGTCCTGTTGGTTCCTTGTGCAACTATACTAGTACAGATACAAAAAGTGACTAGATATATTGCTTGGTTGTGATAGAAAAGCCCCAAACATCCCTCAACTTCTTGTGAAGCTTAACTAGTTCAGAGCAGAAAGGTCACTCTTCTGTCAATCGCATTCAAAAGCTCTTCATTTCAGTGGCTTTTCTCAGTATTCTGATCCATCTCCCTAGCTTTGTTGGGCACCATAGCGTAAATCCAGCCCTGCACCCCATGCTGCTTTTATTTACTCTCAAGTTGCCATTGATCTATACAAAAGTCTGGTAGGCTCTACAAACAGCCTTCTTTTACACACGCAGGTTGTCATGTTGAATAATCTACCCTGTCACAACTTTATTAGAGCCCTTGTAGCTGTTGGCTCCGCAGGTGAGCAAGCTCTTCAGTGCGTTTCAGCTGTCCTTTGTTATGACTTTGATAGAAGTGGAGGACTGATATTGGTTTGACACTGTCAGGCAGAGAGGTTGAACGAATCATGGAAAAGAGTCAGAGCTCAATGTTAAGTTTAAAGAAATGGGAAGGAAAATGGAAGAGAGATAATACGGAGGCAAAAGGGGAATGGAAAGGGCCATACTTTCCCCTGCTCCTGACAACCTACCTATCTCATGGCACACATCTCCAAGAGCCATTATGGGCTGAAGCAGGCCAATTCTTCGCCATTTCCCTAAAACAACAACCACCCTACTCTGTCAGTGGCACTGTTTTGCTTCCAAACTGGGGCCATCAAATTGAGCCATCAAAAGGAAAAATTGCTAAGAATGCTGAGCCCTATGTGGTACTTGAGCTTTTCATAATTTGTGTTCTATGTGTGTATTTGTGAACAAAGCAACTATTATAAAGTTGTCATGAATCTACAGAGGTAGCCAACATGGTGTTCTCCAAATAATCTTGAAGTCACAACTCCCATTGCTTCCAGCCAGCATAGCCAATGGTCAGAGATGATGGGGGCTACAGTTCAGAATATCTAGAGGGCATTGCGTTGGTGACCTCTATGTGGCTTAATATTTAAAGCAAGCCAAATCAGGTAGTGCTGTCCTTGAATGTCTCACTATTTGAGGAAATGAAGAATGAACCACAGAACAGAACCACAAAAGACCATATCTTCTCCAGATGTAAATTATTATTATTTTTGAAGTCTATTTTTAACTTGATAGTTTTAGCTTCAGGTTGAAAGTGTAAATGCTCCATTAGGCTTAGGGGAAATAGGCAGATTGAAAGATAGCGATTTCTTCTTCTATTTCTTCTTCTTAGTCTCAGACATTCAGAACTTAGTGTTAGTTGATAGACTGTAACATTAGAACCTTAAAAAACATTGCTACTGTCTTTTTGTGATTGATTCTGGACAACTATTTATGGAGCAGTAAAAGATTTGCTTCCTTTCATATTTCTGAGCTCAAATTTCAGATCTGGGTATGTGTCGTCTTAAGTGGCTGGTCTTGGCAGTTTAGTAGAGCTTATTGGCCATCTGTTCTGTCTAGTTCACCACATGGTGAACTTGAACTGAGCCAAAACATGACAGAACAGAATGTAGCAAAGCAACTTGCTCAGGTAATGTGTTTTATTCTGAATTAGATACTCATTTTTTTAATATATATAACCCCCCCCCCTTCACACCAGTACTTCAGAAGTACTTGAGTGTTGCTGGAAACTTTGCAAGATGTAAAGGACAGTGCAGTGCACTGAGGGAACCAAAATTTCTATATATAGTCAGTGTGGACACCTCTAGTCTGCTTGCCGGCACTAACCCTCTTCTCAATGGGTGGGCACCAGAGCCAATTACAGCCTCTTGACTAGACTTCTCACTGCTGCTGCACCCTGCTGACTTATTAGGGTACTAAGAGCATTACCAGCTGTCCTTTAATTTGTACATTTTCTGTGTGCAAGAAACAACAAATACAAAACTGATGTCACCCACCCCTAAAGGAAGAGACCATATTTTCCCTCCAGGGTTCAGAATTCCTGAAACCCGGTACCTCCAGTCAGAAGGTATTGCCCCCTGAAGTTCCAGAAGTGTTTTTGCTCAGTAAAAATTGAAGTGTATCTGTACAGTAAAATGCAGAATGCTTCAGGCTATTTAGAAATCTCAAATACTAGAAGCAGGCAGCAGTTAAGTGGGCAGTTCATGAGATTGGGGTCACTGAAGACTTCCTAACACATCTGTAGGAGGCAGGCTAAGGAGAAACCGCCCACCCACGTCTTCCTAGCAGCTCTGGGCCCTTGCTGGAGCTTGTGATTTTTAACTTCTCTCTGGTCCATCTTGTTCTGTGCATGTTTCAAAGTCTCTGTTGCAAAGTCTGACAATTCCAGGGGCTTTTGAGGTTGAGAACACTTTTTTATGTACTCAGATTGATTGATAAAAACTTAATCAAAGAGCTTTCTCAGGGTGGTGCACATAATAAAACACAACTAAAATCCATGAAACTGTTAAACAAGTGTGCATAAAATAATTATCATTAAAACACAGATAAAAGCAGCAAAGCTTTCTAAAGGAATATAAGTAACTGAATGATGTCTGGGTAGTCTTGCTGAAATAAAGTCTCAGCAGGAGTCTAAAACAATGTAGTGATCTCTTGATATTTATAGTGGCGTAGGCAAGCTAGCCTTGGAGCTTCCCAGCCAAAGGCTGCTGCTCTCCCTGGAAACTAACATACAAAATGTTAATAAAGCTTACAGGCTCTGAATCCAGCCTGCCAGTCCACTCCAAGGGAAGCAGCATTCAGAATCACAGGGAGCAGTAGCTAGATGAATTCTGTAAGCTCATAGGCAGGTTAGAATAGGGACTGGTAGGGAAGTAAAAATGAATGATGGTAGCAACAGGGTGGCTTTGAAATCTGTTTAGATTTAGATTCTGGGCTTTATATAGCAGTAGCTAGGAAATTGGGTCACATGAACTGCAAACTCTGAGAAGCTGGAATAACAGAAGCTCGGGAGTCCCAAGTATAGGCAGCTTGGAGAAGTGGGCAACCATTGCATGGTGAGCAGGTGACTTATTATTTTGACTCTGCAGACTTGAAGATGATCAGTTAAGAAGCAAGCGAAGCATGGCTGTTAAGGCATGATTAGCACACATTGTGACGCACAGACAGCTATTGTGGCTTGGAGTAGATTTACATGTCCACATGTGTACAGTGGATACTCGGGTTGTGAACGTGATCCATGCAGGAAGCACGTTCGCAACCCGCAGTGCTGTGTCTGTGCACACGCGGGTTGTGATGTGGCGCTTCTGTGCATGCGCAAGGTGCAATTTAGCACTTCTGTGCATGTGCAAGCGCCGAAACCCGGAAGTTCCAGTACTTCCGGGTTTGGCGCGGTGCGCAACCCGAAATTACGCAACCTGAAGTGTCTGTAACCCAAGGTATGACTGTATTCATACCAGGGAGGCACTTCTGCAGGGGGAGGTTAATATGAAAGCAGGCAGAATGTAGTCAGAATTCAATGAGAGCAGCAAGTGTCATGAGCTCCCATTGGCCTCTGGAGTTGATACAGGTTTGTAATTAGTCCTTGCCTGCCTCTAGTTTTCATTTCCATAGTTGGCTGTGCAGGTCCATTGGACTGATTTCCCTCTGTAGCCCAAACAAGCCCTTAAAAGTGGTTTGTATAATTAGGGCTGCTTATATAAATAGGAAATGCGCCAATGGGACAAATGGCAGTCACTCCATGTACTTTCTTATTCTCTCCACCCGCCCCCCCATGGTGCTGAAGCAGAACACTGGCAGTAGAATATCTGATTTCTGATGGAGATGTAGCTTCCCCCCGTGAAATGCTTGTTGATTGCATTGTGATGCAAGGAATTTGAAGTTGTGCCCCCCCCCCCATTCATTTTGAGATGGTGACACTGCTGCTATGATACAGCTGGTGTAATTCAATATGAAGCTGTCACCTTTGTGCCAGAGGCAGAACATCATGGCATGGGGCATGGCAGGCTTTCTGGTGTATGCAGTGCTGTAAGCAAATGAGTGACTTGAGACCTTCTTGTGTGTGTATATTTGTGCACATTTTCCTCTATCTGGACCTATTAGATGTTATCTGGAACTTTGCATATTTGTCTCCATTTACAAGGGTTGCAAATGTATCCTGTTCCATGGAGTCTCCACCAAGCCACAGCATTCAATTATTTCCCCCAAACATACCCAAACAATCCAGAACTCAAGTTTTATCCTGCATAATACGTGCAATTGTGGAAGGGGATGTCCTCACTGATAGCTGACTACTGTAAAGGTGCAGGTTCTTTAATCTCAAGATTTTTAAGAGAAGGGAAAAAGTATGCCCTGAATTGCACACTCAACAAATGTATAGAAAACTACTTGGAAGACTTAGAAGATCAGAGTAATAGGATCTGGAAACAAGATCACATGAGCAAACAAGCAGACAGTGGGACAATAGTCACCTTTTCAGCTAATTTTTCTTGCGATGGAGAGGGCAGGAGATGGAGTAGGCCCAGTGGTTTTCAACCAGTGTGCTGTGGCACCCTGGGGTGCCTTGAATGATGCTCAGGGGTGCTCCGGGCAGTACTGGCCTCTGTCCCTCTTTCCCTCTCTCCCTCCTCTGATGCTCTCTCGCATCTCTGCCTCCCAAAGACTTGCACAGCTGTTTGTTTCAGCATCACTGGCTACACGCTCCCCAGGTGAATGATTCCTCTGGGACTGGTCAGGGGGAGCTGGTTGGCAGAAGCTGAGGTGGCCTTGGAATAAGCAAGCAAGCGGGCAAGGGAGCCCAGCTAACCAGTCCGCCAGCCCTTGCTGTTGGGAATGGACAGACTAGTGGGAGGCTGGGCAGGCAGGCAGGCAGGCAGGTACCGCAATAGCTTTTCTTGTGCTAGCTGTGTACAAGGCCTGCCTGGGAGCTGAGTGCCCAGTGTTGCCACACAGGCCCGGCAGTGCCTGCTGCTGCCACTGCTGCCTCCCAATGTATCGTGCTGGTCTCACATTCACCTTTGGCCAGTCTCCATTGGGCCACTAAGGCTGGGGGTATCCTCATCCCAGGCCCCTATGGGGCAATGGCCCCCTCTTTTGGGGCCAGGAGGGGCAGCTCAGACACCAGGGGCAGCAGCATCGGCTGCCCAGAGGACTCCCAAGGAGAAGGGAAAGGAGAGGAGGCTGAGGGAACACTCCACAAGGGTGTTCAGAAAAGGGTGACAAGCTGCCAGCTCTGCAGGCAAGGGGTGACATAACTGGGCTCCTGAGTCCCACAGGGGAGCTGCAGAAAGAATGTAGTTGGTCAAGGGAGTCATGAACTCAAAAAGTTCAAAAACCTCTAGAGTAGGCAGTGAATGGCGGGAGCAGGAGGGAGAAGCTGCAGTGGCTGATCGGTCACCTGCCTGTCTTGATACACGTTTGCTCTCCCTTTATAGCATTTTAAGAGAATCCACTGTAGAAGTCTTGCCCAAGGGCTCCTGGACCTGGAACAAGCACAAATAGCACCAATGGTACACTTTGGGTTACCTACCTCTGTAATTTATGTTGAAGTGTGTACTTGACATCAGTTACTAACACATTTAACTACCATGTCCTACTCTATGTGAAATGGAGGGCTTCTGCCACAGGATATGGAATTTGACAAGTGTATAGTTAAAACACATTGGTTTATATCCAATACTTTTAATGAGTAAATTCATTAAAATTAATAGACATGACTGATTTAGGCTTATATATGTCCATGGTGTAAACCACTGAGCCTAGGGCTTTCCAGTCGGAAGGTCAGCGGTTCGAATCCCTGCAGTGGGGTGAGCTCCCGTTGCTCAGTTCCAGCTCCTGCTAACCTAGCAGTTCGAAAGCACATCACGTGCAAGTAGATAAATAGGTACCACTCCGGTGGGAAGGTAAACGGCGTTTCCGTGCACTGCTCTGGTTTCGCCAGAAGCGGCTTAGTCATTCTGGCCACATGACCTGGAAAAACTGTCTGCGGACAAACATCGGCTCCCTTGGCCAGTAAAGCGAGATGAGCGCCACAACCCCAGAGTCATTCACGACTGGGCTTAACTGTCAGGGGGCCTTTACCTTTACCTTTAAGCCTATTCTAAGTAGGACTAGCATTGGATGGAAGGGACTGTGTCACTCTGGCTTTAAATGATGATAATGATGATCTTTATCTTCCAAGACCATTTCCCACTATTTAGAGAATTGTGTGTTTTACGTGCTATGTATAAAGAAGTCTTTAAGCTTGAAAGAAAGACAGACTAGACTTGTACTACATGAAGTACAATTTGCCAGCCTTCGCAATCCATGCCTTCGCATTTTCACATAGGGAAACAGATCTTGCTTTAATGGGTTTGTAATGCAAATGTAAAACCTACAGTGGCCAGAATGTTCACCTGTTTGTGAAATCCAAGTTTGTTGGTTAGCAAAGATTAAATGTTCACACAGCAGTGGGCAAAGGTGACTGTTTGAAAATGCTCAAAGACTTCAATAATCTACTTGTGTTTTGGTATAAAGCTGCATTGATTGGGGGCAGGTGTTTTTTTTGCATCGTTTTTCTTTTATAGCCTTCAACAGAAGGGGGAAATGCAAAGGTGCAGTGATATCAAAAGGCAACTGTTGCATGTTGGGTGAGGCAAGCACCCTTAATTTGCCTTCAGTGATGCAGAAAGGGATAGAAATCTTTGTTTCACTTTGAGGAAATCCTTTGTGCAGGAGGGAGGCTTCCGTAAAAATTGCCCACAGCTGTTCTAGCTCCCTCCTTTCAGCAAATGCATGGGGTCATGGTTTTGCTAGCGTTCCATGGATACAGCTTTTCCCTTCCCTTCTGACTTGCCCTCAGTTGCCCCTTGATGGGGAGATGCCCTAAGCCACCAAGGGTTTGTGAGGATAAATGGGGGGGGGGGCTGTTGTATGCTTCCTCAAGATCCTCAAAGGAAAGATGAGATAGAAATACAATAAATAAACATTGGAGAGTAGCCATTAAGGGTTATTTCGGCAGAAATAGGGCCTTGTTGGTTGACAATACCTCTCCTTGGTTCCCCCTTCTAAAAATGGTCCATTTTAGAGCCAGTTACCTATCAATCTCCAGACAGCCTCACTTAGATTCACTTTTACTGAGCTGTGTTTTCAAGCTATGTCCTCCACCATCCTAGATGGGTACCATATGAAGACAGACTCTCTATATGTGGGCAACCACAGGTGGAAGACATTTTGCACTATTTACTATATTGCCCACTATACATTGGACCCAAGAGGCAATTTCTCACCTTACTGTCCGTACAGGAAATATGTCGCTCCCTGGCAGAGAAGGTTCTGTGACTTCTTGGCGATGTAAACGCTTCAGTGATTCATAATGTCGCCTTTTTTGCTTTGCCAAAAAAACCCAGAAAGAAGACCCTGGACAATATAGCAGTGAACTGTAAGGGAGACGCAGAGATCTAAATAGAGACCATTATTTGTGGCACGACTCCCCTTTTGCTTGTATTTATTTTTGATTCAGATTTGTCATGGCCAATGGCTAGTACAATCAAGTTATTTGGATTGGATTGGCTAACAATACAAGTTACTTAAAAGGGGACAAGGTTTTTACCCTTTAAAGGGTCCACCATTTCTTGCGCTATATGTAAGTCAGTTGCACCTACATGCCTGAAAGAAACTAGATCCCTTCCAGATCTATTGAGTTATAGCCCAGCATTGCTTCTTGTTGCTTTTGTGTCCCATTTGGAAATGTTGTCCAAGATCATGCTAGCCAAATCTCTCTCTCTCTCTCTCTCTCTCTCTCTCTCGGGGGGGGGGGCGTGTCTAATACCAGCCTGTTTGGGGTTTTTTGAGCTTTTAACAAGCCATTAAAACAGCAGTCTAGCTGCTTGGGCAGATGGGATGCCCAGCTTGCATCATGTTGTTGGATGTTCACTGGTATGATTTACACCAATAAATCATCAAAGAACACACCTTAGCCTAGTTGAAGCTTGCATGTCAGATTTTGTCGGAGATAGAAAGCAGTTGATCAGAGGCACGCCCTGTTGATGAGGGGTTATTTCTGGAAAAGAAAAATATTTTTACAGGCACCGTTTCCCCAACTTATTAGGGGCACAAAGAACCCTGTGCTTCTAAAAATTAAAGCTACTGCAGAAGTCGTGGTGGTCTTTACTAAAGAAATAATTTAAATGAACATTTTCTAGATATTCCATACTTTCCCACTTACCAGATTTGAATGTCACAGTTCATGGGAAAGGATTAAACTTTGATCAAGAGAACAAAAGCTCTTAATAATTTCACCCCATCCTAAATGGTAATCTTTCACCAACTAATTTTTCATTCTTCAAAATCTTTATAAAGCACCCTTTTAAGTTTGGTACTAGAAAATGGTCTAAAAATAACCCTGGTTGTTAACAGTAAAATACTTAATAGTAAATCCAGACATTCATTCACACAGCGACCTAGCTGTGCTTGCTGGTGCCAGCTTGCCCGTGACAAAGTCTTTGAATGGAGCACACTAATTTGCAACTCCTGTCATAATTGCAGTTATTCGCTGCAGCAAAGTGAAGTAATTCACTTTTCAGCTGTGCTGATCCTCTGCAGTAGTGGTTCTTGTAGCAGGAAAATGTGCATCGTAGCTGAGGTGAAAGCTCTGATCTTTTTCTTCTAGCAGCCACAGGAGTAGCTTGGGACTGGCTGGGATGAGACAAAAGCCTGGAGAGCTCAGTTGGTTAGAGTGTGGTCCTGATAGCGCCAAGGTTGCAGGTTTGAGCCCTGTATGGGATAGCGGCATTGCAGGGGGTTGGACTAGATGATCCTCAGGGTCCCTTCCAACTCCACAATTCTAGGATCCTGAGATCTTGTTAAGGGTAGCCAAATTCTGTGTGATTGCTATAAAACTTAAGGAACAAGCTGTGCTATCATAATGATTAAGGCCTTAAATGATAATTTTAGGTTATATGTTAGTGTCTAAGTTTTAATTTATATATTTTTAAACTGTTGCTATATCTGTATTGTCCCTGTTATACCTAATTGCAAATTCAAATGTATCCCTGTCGTGTTTTATGACTTCCTTGACATTGTATGTGGGCTGGAACTGGTCTGTGATTGAAATAATAAAATTCATTCTATGATTCTATGAAAAGCCATCTTTGGACAAAGGAAAACACTTAAGCTCCATCTCTGAGCAGACAGGCATATGTGCTCCTTAACAATCAATCCAATTTTCTGTCTACACAGAAAAATCAAGGTGTTTTTTTTCCATATCAAGTGGCCAAAAGCAAGGTGTGTTTTATATATTCAAAATGTGTGTGGAGAGTGCAAGTTCTCATCCATAAAGTGGGTGAGACAGTGGGGAGTACAGAAACAAGAGGTAATGTAAATTAGAAAAATAAGTTTTATTTAGGCATGAGCAGAGAATCTGTGGTCCTCCATAGGTTGTTTTACTACAGCTGTCCTTCATCCCCCAGATAGCATTGCTAGTGATAACCTGGAGGGCCACAGGCTGACCACCCTTAAGGCTTGGGTCCAAAGTCTTGGATGAAAAGAAGGCCACTTCTGCTGGACAACAGGGAAGTTACTAATTTCAGATTCACCATTGCTCACTGCATCCCCGTCTGTTGTGTCACTTTTAGTTCTGGAGTGTCACCTGACTCTTGAGGAATAGCTTTTTGAGGAGCAGCAATGGAAAGGGGTCCAGGAAAGCCCAGTTGTGTGAATGGAACTCTATCCAGATCCAGATCAGAATAATCTCATGTGGGCAGTGATCAGTGGAAAGGTCAACACTTCCTTTGAAGTAGAGGGAAGTGGTAGTTCTCAAATACTGTGGTTTTGCTTTTGCTGGTATGAGTAGGCTCTCTAAGACAATGATTGGTGTCAGTTGTGCACACTTTTGGTTTTTTATTTCATGTTTTTAAAAATAGGCTTATGCCAAACATCATATGTTAAACTTTGCCATTAAAAGCCTAATTAAAATTCTATAAATGAATCTCTTTCCCCAAAGTGGTATGGGGAGAGCTAATTGGCTATTGTGAAGAAAGGGTATTTCCTTTCAGTTGGATGAATAATCAAAGTAGAGTGGTAAACAGAAGAGACATTTCTTTGCTAAACAAATGTCTATATTTGTGTCTGGATACCATCAGACTTCTAAAAAAAGATGCATGTAATTTAGAAACTGTGTTTTTATGGGAGACTTGTCAGCATGCTGTAGCAGTTGTGGTATAAGCTGTCATTCTGTAGAACAGTTTACAATTGTAAATGGGCCACAGGCAAGCTACTTTTGTTTCCTTATGAGAAGAAGGAATTGCTTCCTATAGCACAGGTTGAGACGATGAAGAAACTAGATATTAATAGTGCATGGTGCAAAATAATATTTTGATCAACAATTCCTATTTCAATAAGAATATTACATGACAATTTTAGTATATAATAGATAGCTGGCACTGCATGTGGGTCTCCAAATATCCAACATGCAAATAAATTATTATCTACTGTGTCCCAGATGATGCTCGTCAACAGCTCTCAACATTCCTGACCATTGACCATGCTGGCTGGGCTGGTGGGAGTTGGAGCCAAACAACACCTGGCTCTGGTTTACTCCATAAAATATAAAGTGCCACACTCCTAAGAGGGACCTTTCCCTTGGCTTGGTGAATTGCCTGGTGGCAACTTGAGCTTCTAAGTAACCAGCTCCTGATTAGATTTAAGTAGCTAGCAACTTGGAATAACTACTTTTTCAACTGGATGCAACTGACTTTTATTGGGAGATGTTCATAAAACTTGTACATTTTATAAAAGTGCAAATGCATGAGCAAAGGTGATCCAAAAAACATGGCGACATACAACTCAGATGCATGATTGAAATCTGTTAGGCACCTTTGGGGAAGACCCCTGATTAGAGCTGAAGCCTTGATCAAAGGGTCAAGATGCAGCATTATTTGGTGCTTTCTTAAATAGTATGGGGACACGGGTGGCTCTGTGGTCTAAACCAGTGTTCCCCAACCTTGGGCCTCTAGCTGTTTTTGGACTACAACTCCCATCATCCCTCGCTAGCAAGACCAGTGGTCAAGGATGATGGGAATTGTAGTCCAAAAACAGCTGGAGGCCCAAGGTTGGGGAACACTGGTCTAAACCACTGAGCCTCTTGGGCTTGTCAATCAGAAGGTCAGCGGTTCGAATCCCCACGACGGGGTGAGCTCCCATTGCTTGGGCCCAGCTCCTGCCCACCTAGCAGTTCGAAAGCACGTCAAAGTGCAAGTAGAGAAATAGGTACCGCTTCGGCGGGAAGATAAACGGCGTTTCTATGCGCTGCTCTGGTTTGCCAGAAGTGGCTTAGTCATACTGGCCACATGACCCAGAAGCTGTCTGTGGACAAACGCCAGCTCCCTCGGCCTATAGAGCAAGATGAGCTCCTTTGACATAGTTGCTTACTGAGGATACTTTACAAAACTGAAAAAGTACTGTCTCAACAAATCCTCAGATTTAAGAATCCTCTTAACACAATCTGTCAAGAAGTATGGTTTATGTTCCCTCTCCCTGCTTCTAAACAACTTCTACAAACCCCACCACGTGTTTTTCATGCTTTCCTTATGCCTTTAATTTAAGAGAGTTGTGTTTGAAGTGAATTGCCGAGCACTTCAGAGGGAGCAAATTGTAAATATTTCTGGTGGGCCCCAAAGCACTTGGTCTCAGAATAATTGCAGCCACCTCTTCAATTGCAGGAGCATTCAAAGTAGCCCAAGTGGGACTGAAGTAAAGGAGCTGATTGCAAAAGGGATGGGTGAGCTTATACTAGTCTTGGAAAACAGAGTAGTGCCAAAAAGTCTTTTTTTAAAAAAAAAGTCATTACCTCCCCTTCAGTGATGCTGAGAGGACTAAAACAAGAATTACAGTTAATGTCATCTTCTTACCAAACATTTAAGCAAACTAGACAAACCTCCAAACCATCATCAAACTATTTTTGTTGTTGTAAGAGTACTGACTCCTTTTTATAACCCATTTTTAATGACAGGGCAGATGTCTTGATAGACTAGCATGCTGTCATCTCTCAGATGTAGTCAGTCTTGACATTTTAATTTTTTTAACTTATGAAAACAGAGCTATTGGGGGGAGGCATACAGATGACAGTTTGTAAACTAAGGGTCTGGTCCAGCTTCTGTTAATGCCTCTTGGGCATATGTGAAGTTTGTCTCAAGGTTGAGTGAAGTGAAATGGAGTTTGTGCCTTGGTAGCAGCTGGGTTGCACCCAAGAGTGACTTTTAGGCAAATAATGTTATGACTTGTTTTGAATCGGTTTAATGACTTCAAAGTCTTTATATCCTCTTTAAATAATAAAAAGCTGCCCATCTGTTGGTGTAGATGAGCTCACACCGACATAAAGGCTGTTTTAAACCGTCTCTTCTTGTACTAAGGGGCAGACCCTGGGGCACACATAGATGTGAAGAAACATGAAGATTCCTCCAGATGCAACTGTTTGAAGGCTTGTGGGAAATCTTCAGTCACAAAGACTAGAATTGTAGCCTTTTTCTCCACAGTTTACCTTGACTCAGATGTGTGTGTGTGTGCATTTATTTGGCTTTCTTGGCTGGTTTTCTTGTAGTTAGCCCTACAGAACAAATATTTACTAATGATTTCTTTTCTGCCTTGAAGTATTCCACAGATTGTCAGTTGTGAAAAGAATTTGGCCACACAAGAGCTCTATCCTTTTGGTGGCTTCCTGGTGTCTAATGAATTACCACCAGGATGCTTTTTCCTGTTTATAATGGTAGGTAGGAGAGGGGAAAGAAAGGAATTGAGTTTGTACCTCCACCCAGCAAACTAATGGTCACACAGCTGAACAAATCTCTCTTTTAGCCCATGTCCCAATTCTTCAGTGAAACCCAACTCTCCTAAATGCCATGTTTATGGCAACTTCCTTCCCATCATGGTCTCTCTTCATAGGGCTGGTATATGCCATCTTCACAACCACAATGTACTCTGATAGCAACACACTTAGATTAGCATTAACAGGCAACACTAATCTTTTAGCTTCAAAGGTGTAAAATTTAATGTCCTAACCAGCTGTTATGACCTCTAATTAGGCTTAAATGCATCCTTTTAGGATCTGAATTCTTGTTCCCAACATTTGATTTAGAAATTATTGCTGATTTTTATTGCTGATTTGAATGTTTTACATAGCTTAATGTTTTTATTGATAATGTTATTGTTTTATTCTCTTTGTAAATCACTTTGAGGATTTATTTTACAATCAAGTGGTATATAAATTTTATGAAGTTTACTATATATTTTGTAAAGTGGTTTCAAAAAATTCATGGGCAGCCCTGAACACTTCCAGCTAGTATTAAATAAAATAATAAAAATTACGCCGTAGGAATTATCAGAATGGAAAGAAATACATTTTCTCTAAGTTAAGCTGCTCCCATAATGTAGGTGTGAAAAGTGAGATCTTTTGATGAAGGGCGGTATGCAAATCTAATAAATAAAATACGGTAAGTAAAATAAAAAGTCATCTTTTTTCTGGAGCTGAAATGAAGCGGGAAAAGGGACGTAACCCTCTTTGAATACTTTGCAGGTCTCTCCTTTAGTCTGCTTCTCTTCACACCTGCAAAACTGCATTATTTTTACCAGGTAATGGTTACATCTAGCTGTGCTGCTCTTGGTTTCTTAAATGGATAAGCAAGATATTTCAGCCTCTACACATTTCAGTGTCTTTCTCAAAAAGCCCACCAAGCAGGTGCTTTCACCTCTTGGTCTGTTTCATGCTCCAGTTCACATGGTGGTGTATTAGGGAAGAATTGGGTCTCTGCATGCCACAAGCCTTATTAGGACCAAACCAGCAGGTGGTAGAATGAGGTGTGAATGTATGTGTGCGAGATTGCCATTCAGCTTTTTAACCTGGTTAAAATGAAATTGAATGATATAGTTCTGAACTTCCTCTTTTTCCCAGGAGGAAGAGATGCCCGATGTAGAAATCGACATTGATGACCTTCTTGATGCTGCTAATGAAGAGGAGAGAGCACTCAAATTACAAGTTAGTTTGATTTTACCAACTTGGGACAGCAGTTAAGATACATGGGCAACCTATGGTAATTAGTTCTTCACTGTCTGAATCGCAAACCTAGAATAATTTTCTGTGCAGAGTTATTGGGGTAGGTGTGGAGGTTACTGCTGCAATGTAGAATAGTCTTTTACCTCAATCCCATTCTAGGTATAACTTGGGAGAAATGAAAGATAAACCCTTAATTGTGGAGTAAAGTAATATGAATCCAGGCATTGATTGCAGTAGGCAGAACTTGTTTACCTATTTCCCCTAGACCATGAAATACTGACATAGAAAAGATGTCTATTCCCCAGCAAATGTGGTGGTTACTCTGAAAGTGTCCAATCCTTAGATGCAAGAAGGATGAAGGAAGACTGCCCTTATTAAAACAACTGATGCTCTTATTTTGTTTCTAGGAAGCGCTTGTAGATTGCTACAAACCCACAGAGGTAAACCAATCTTATACTGTTTTAAATTTAAGAACATGATGATAGTTTAGTGTGTACAAATCAGCTTGTCTTACCCAAATGAATAAACTTGCACAGATAGCCATAATCTAGATCCATGTTAATGGAGTTATTTGAATACTTTGCCATTATACTTTTGACGAGATAGTTGGATCTCAAATTGTGTTAAGCCACACTGCCCAATGATCTGCCTCTCTGAAGAAGAAGAAGAAGAAGAAGAAGAGGAGGAGGAGTTTGGATTTGATATCCCGCCTTTCACTCCCTTTAAGGAGTCTCAAAGCAGCTAACATTCTCCTTTCCCTTCCTCCCCCACAACAAACACTCTGTGAGGTGAGTGAGGCTGAGAGACTTCAAAGAAGTGTGACTGACCCAAGGTCACCCAGCAGCTGCATGTGGAGGAGCGGAGACTCGAACCCGGTTCCCCAGATTACATGACTACCGCTCTTAACCACTACACCATACTGGCTCTCTGGTACTCCTCTGCCATGTTTCAAATCCTTATTAACTCAGGTAGCCTCCCATGTGGCTGTGAGGAGCACTGGTGGTCTTCCTGCAACAAACACATGCTGGGCAGACATTGCACACATATTTAAAATGTGTGTGTATGCTCATCACTGTAGTTGCATGGGGAAGCTGAATAGATATTCCATAAATGTGTGCAGTGTTGGTCTATGTCGACATGTGTTTAAGATCTACACGTTATTTGTTTGTTAAAAGCAACAGTAGTGGACTACTGATGGTCTTCCTGCAACAATCCTCTGTTGCAGTTTCTAAGTACAAATATTTGCATCCATATCACCTGTCCTTTAATCGATCCCTTGTAAGATTAAAGGGTAAGGGGATAAAGGTATATAGCACATAGAATTTTCCTAGTTGTTCCTTGTTAAAGGCAACTGTAAATTGAGCATGAGCCTTTTGTTGAGTGTTATGAAATCTACCACCTGAAAAATTATGACAAACAGAAGAATCAATGTGGAATGAAAAATTAACTGTTGTGGAAGGGCCATAGCTCAGTCATGAAGCTTGTGTTGTGCATCCTTCAGTTTCAGTCCCTGGCATCTCCAGGTAAGGCTGGAAAAATTTCCTGCCTGAATTCCTGGTGAACTAATCAGCGTAGTCAATATTGAGTTAGATGGGTCAGTGGTCCAAATTATTATCTAGCAGCTTCCTGTGTTTAGTAACTTGAAAGTGTGTTGTGCAGCTGCACATAGCATCACGGTGATGTGTTTGGGTGTCTTCTGTGTATTGTAAAATAAGGGCATTTGAGACACCAGCTTTTATACTGTGCTAAACAAGCATACTATATATACTTGTCAGGTTGTTCACTGCTTCCATGATTCCTTTGTTGCTTTCTACAACAGAGGGAGAAAGAGTCTCTCTCTCTCTCTCTCTCTCTCTCTCTCTCTCTCTCTCCCTCTCCCTCTCCTGTAGTTAGTCATCTGTAAGAAATGAATGACACAATGTTTTGATGTGGCTGTCTTATCTTAAAAGTAAGCTTGTTTAGTGGATGCCAGCAGCTAAAAATACTTTTCTGGGCATGTGGCATCAACCTGGGAAAACACATACTTTGCAAGCAGCAGGGAAAATCTCTGACCTTCTGTGTGTATGTGAGCAGATTCAGTCAGACTGAAACAGCCAATCTTTCAAACTATTGGAGTGTTGCACTAAACTTTATGAACAACTGTACCAGGCACTTGAGAACTCCTAATGTGAACCCCAGTCACAGCTTGCCAGTGGAAATTCTGGAGATGTGCAGAAGCCACATATATCTGTTGCCTAGAAAGAGGCACTCTGGCTTTACAAGCCTCTAGGAAATGTTTGGGTATTGTAAATGACTAATGCCTCTGTACTATTAATACACGCTCTGTCCTTTTCCCAGTAAGCAGGCTAGAAATAGAACTCTCTTGAAACTTCACAGCAAAGCAGAGAGTGTTTAGTGATGCAGGTGCTATTCATGCTTGAGCAGGAGATGTATATAGTAGTTTTTTTATTTATTCAGATGGAACTCCAAATGGGGGACATAAGTTGGCTCCTTTAGAAGTCAGTGCTCATGTTTCAAAATGCATCTCCACAGCAGGAATATATGGAGATAGCTAGAAACTTAGCGAATGTTCTCTGCTGGCAGGTGGGAGGGAAGCGTGTGTGTGTGTGAATGGGATCAATTTCCCTCTGCCACCATTGTGATTGAGAGAAAGGGAGTGGGGAGGAGGCATTAGGTCTGGGCAAAGTATGCCCTTTGGTTGCACATAGGGCCAATGGGGTCACTAGGGGAGACGTTCCCCTCTTCTGCCGCTGATAGTCTTTTTCTGGGTTCCCGCTTGTATAAACTCTTACCGGCAACTGTGCTCAATCTGGATCACTGGGATTTTGAAGGCAGCCTTTTGTTAAAACATGCATTCAGGAGTCCATGGCCTAGTCTTGCTTTGAATGTTGTGTTAGAATGAATGTGTGGGTAGGGGTTGCACTTTCTTGGTGATTTTTCTAATGACACGTTTCCCCCAATTCTTTGTTTTTGTAGGATTTTATCAAAGAACTGCTAACTCGGATAAGAGGGATGAGAAAATTGAGCCCTCCTCAGAAGAAGAGTATATAACTGGAAGCAGAGCCCTCTTGAGAGATGTGGCTGCTAAACTGGGACTTTCAATAGATCAACTTCTAGTTCGGTCTTTATGAGCAATTTATTATTACTTTTTGGTTGAGTTCTGACATTTTAATGAATTTGACGACTTCTGTTTTTAAGGCTTTTTTTAAAGTGTCTGTTGTTTTTTTATCATGAATATCAACATTATGGATGCTGCTTTTACTACCTGAGGATGGTCAAAGTAGTTGGGGAAACGCCAAATTTAGAGAGACTTCCGCTGTCCCAGACAGTAATCCTACCTGACGAATTCTGTATAGAACTACTAGGAGGTGCTCTTCCTTTGCGACCAGTTGGGTTGTTTCATTAAGTTGTGCACCAGACTCATGGATGTTAAGGTTCTTGTGCTTATGTACATAAATTATCGAGTGAGTGTTACGTTTTGCTTCACATGGTTGGAAGGGAAATGTGGTCTAGTTAACAATTTAAACGAAAGTTGTAGCAGATGTGATGTTGGGGGTGGGGGAGGGAGGCAATTTGTTAAAAGTCAATGCTGCCACTGTTTCTAAATGCATTTAAAGCATTGGGGTGAATAGACTCATTCACAAAGCAACATATGAGCAAGCTAGGGGGTTTCAAGGGCTTAATTTTGTAGACTTTGAACTTATTTTATTGACTTTTGATGCTTAGCCAGATCATCTCCTCTTCACCTCATGGTCTGTTAGGATTGTGTTAACTTACTGCCTAAGGGTCTGATGCAACAGCCAGGGAAGGGTTGATGCCATTTGAAGGTTTCCAGATGAGGAAATGCAAGTGAAACCAAACAAAACCATGTAATATTGGCCCAGTGCAGTTTCTTCCTGCCCTCCCTTCTTGTGACAAGAATATTAGACTGATTCTCCAACTTTGGCATCAGACTTGGTAGGTTGTGTGGGTGGTACTGGTTCTTAGTTGTGAAAGCCGGAATCCCTAACACTTCAGGAAAACATTCTAAATGTTTCACAAGCTACCATCTGCTGGTAGATGCTAGTCTGGCATTTTATATCAAGGGTGCTCTGAACATAATATTATTTTTTAAAAGAAGAAATACATGTTTGTGGACTTTATGTATACTGGCAAGCTTTTTAAAATGTATTTAATTTTGTAATGTTTTATCAATGACTTTATTTACCAGATATTTACTCAAATAAATGCAACAAATTGGGGCTTTGTTTTACGTGTATTTTAACCATTAGCAGAAGTGAAAGGTGTTCTTACTTTGCCAACCTGTTTTGAGTACAGAAGCAACCTGATAAAGTTGTGTTAACCCAAGTCTCCTTACAGCATTCCATTGAAAGAAACTATTGACCAACTTATTTTAAGGCGAAAGACTCCACTGTGCCCAGGAAAGGTGTGAAGAATGGATCTTAATTGCTTTTTAATGTATAGCGTTGCATTTTGCTTCAGATTTAATTTTGAAGATTTAAAAAAATGGCATATGCCTATCACAAAGGAAATATGCTGGTGCATTTAGTACATTATAAATAGCTTACATGGTCATAATTGACCCACAGGGCAACAAGATGTCATACTTTTAAAAGGAATGATTGCTACCTTATGCCACATGTATTTCTCTATAGTAGTCCTCTTAAAGTGTGCATTGAGGGCCTGGGGTATATGTGCAGCCCCTTATCTTCCATGTTGAGACACATAGAATCATAGAATCATAGAGTTGGAAGAGACCACCAGGGCCATCGAGTCCAACCCCCTGCCAAGCAGGAAACACCATCAGAGCACTCCTGACATATGGTTGTCAAGCCTCTGCTTAAAGACCTCCAAAGAAGGAGACTCCACCACACTCCTTGGCAGCAAATTCCACTGTCGAACAGCTCTTACTGTCAGGAAGTTCTTCCTAATGTTTAGGTGGAATCTTCTTTCTTGTAGTTTGGATCCATTGCTCCGTGTCCGCTTCTCTGGAGCAGCAGAAAACAACCTTTCTCCCGCCTCTATGTGACATCCTTTTATATATTTGAACATGGCTATCATATCACCCCTTAACCTTCTCTTCTCCAGGCTAAACATGCCTAGCTCCCTTAGCCGTTCCTACATGACACCTACATGGTTATGGCTCCCCCACACATCATTTTATTGTGCCTTCATGATGAGTTGTGCTCATGATGGTGTTGGGCCTGTTCTACACGATCCTAATTTCAATACTGTTTATGCCTGCTGAAGATTGAGAGCAGTGACGCTGCTTTCTTTGCAGTCAGTGGATGTTCCATTGCTTCCTGCTGAGATCCTGCAACTCTTTATACCACAAATATTCTGGTTTTTGTCCCACTTCTGTTGTGCTACAGTCAAATAAAATATTTATTGTTGCTGTCAATGACAAGCAAGGAAACAAAATAAAAAGCACGTAGAACACAGTCTTAAAATGTGGAATAATAGAGTAAAAGACGATAAAATAAAACAAAAGAATGAGGTAAATAAGAATAGCATAGAGTGGAATAAATAGGCATCAACAACTTAAAAGATGTAATCATGTCATGAACTCCAAAGAGAAAGATTACAAAGTGGGATCAGTTCCCACTGCGAGTGATAGATGCATTTTGAACCAAAAGGAGTAGAAGGACATGGAATGCATCTGCTCATCCTGCTAGATTTGATAAGAAAGGTCCAATAAAGATTTAAGTTGGATTGTGACAAAAGGAAGAGGACATGGGTCACTGACTTGACCTGTGTCAAGTCTCGGGGGCACTTGCCTTCATGATAGGGTTTTTTTATATATCTTCCTTCCAGGACTGCTGGGGAGAATGCATTTAAATGTGCCAGCATGAAGCCTTGGCAATGCTTTTGGACTGAGTACAGAAAGATAGTTAGTTGATTTGCTGGACTTGGAGTGCTCTGGCAGAGGAATGAGAGAGCCTAAAGAGAATCTATATAGCTGGAGTTTTTTGAGGAAGGCATGTTTCCATACAGACTGAAAGCCATTCTGAATAGTCAACCCTAACCCCTTCATACAGCAATAATGTAATGACACTGGGGAAGTATCACAGAACTAATAAAATGGAAAGATGGTCTAGTATAAATCTACCACAAATGTGCTATTATTGCAGCAATGACATGTTGCTGAATACATCTACAAAACAAGGCACCACAGTCTGGAGAGGCTCTTAGATAGTTTATAAAACCTGCAGAGTAAAATGAACCTTTCTTTTTCAGCACATATTCATTATCTGAACTTGATAATTTCACTAAATGTTAGAATTGGACCCTGAACTGAATGGGATGGGGTGGGGAATTAAATATGGCATTCTCATGGTCTAAAGGGGTTCTTAAAAGTTAAACATATATGCACACACACTTTCCCATATTGGTTGCTTGCAAGCTGAAATTAAAGGGGTGCTAAACACTAAGTGGGACATGGTTGGCGCTTTCCTCACAGCAAAATATCCACCGGGGGGGGGGGGGAGGGTTGGCTAGTTGTGCAAGAGCACCAAGCCAGCTTTCATTGCGTTTGCATTCAGTCTGAAAATAGCACCCAAAAATAGAAGCCCAAAAAGATTCTTACGACTGAACAATGGATGGAAAGAGGGAAATCTAGTCTCCCCCAGCCCATAGTGATGGCAGCTAAACAAAGTGTCTTAAGTAGCTTTCCGGTTCATGAAGTAATTTGGGTCTTTTAAAAATGGAAGCCAGACAGTAAGGCAACCCACTGTAAGTCATGTTCATCATATGAAAATATGACAAATTTTATTACATCTGAATAATTTGTTAATAAAGGTAAAGGGTCCAGTCGTGACCGACTCTGGGGTTGCGGTGCTCATCTTGCTTTATTGGCTGAGGGAACCAACGTTTGTCCGCAGAGAGTTTTTCCGGGTCATGTGGCCAGCATGACTAAGCCGCTTCTGGCGAACCAGAGCAGCACACGGAAACGCCATTCACCCCATTGCAGAGATTCAAACCGCCAACCTTCTGATCGGCAAGTCCTAGGCTCTGTAGTTTAACCCACAGCGCCACCCATACCCCTACTTAATACTTAATACTTGGCAGTAAAACAAAAGAAACATTGACAATTAGATAGGGATCTTCACTTCATCACATAGCACAACATAAAGATTTACCTAAAATGAATTTTTTTAAAAACACCCACAATTTCCTGGAAGTTAACCAAGTTGGTGCTATATGCTCTGAATTGCACAGCAGAGTGGTTGCTGAAAATGGCATCCTTTAAGAAACTCATTTCAGAAAAGATTCCCACCACCCACCCACTAGAAACATGAGAAGCTCTGAGCTAAAAAGCAGTATCTGTTTGCCTTCAGTCTCATGCGTGAGCATAAAACAGTTAGTGTTGTGGCTTGCACTCCTACAGATTACACATGCTGAAAATTCCTTTGTCCCTTTACAATGTATCTGAGAGCGGAACTGAATTTTAAATCATTTCTTGGCTGGTTTTGCTTCTGGGACTGAAGCGGCTGGATTCTTCCCCCCTGAGTAGCGGTGTAACGTCAGTGATCTAACAGAATTACTTCTGATGTTGTTGTAAGATGAGAATTGGACCCATTGAGTTGAGATCTCATTGTGATTCACCTCTTTTATGCTGTGTGGGTGTTCCTCTAGCAATGGAGTGACATTTCAATAGCACACCGTGAACTAAAACAGCAAGAAACCAGATCTCCAGCCTAGGCTCTTTAGGTGGGGAAAGTAGCATGAACAGAGTCGTGTTTGGCCACAGTATAATTTCATTTACCTTCAGAAATTGGGAGTGCCATTAAGCCTAATCTTGTCTAGGAATGAACGTGCATGCTCTCAAGCCCATTTCTGGCATTTTCTTTTAAAATAGGACTGAGGGAGAAGAGCCAGCAGGAGGGTTTTGAGTACACATTATTGATCTCCACTTGTTGAGATTTTGGCTTGGATGGGTGGGTTTCAGAGTGAGGCGAAAGTGATTCTAGCTTTCATACTTCTTCCACTTCAGTCATTGTTTGTATTACACTCTCAGACCCAGGGGAATTAATCAGTGCACAATAAGATCAAAATACGGGTTAAGTGAGTGTGGATGAGCCCTTGATTCCAGTGTCCTCCCTGCTGAAGAGGTGGGGACTTGTAAAAGCCAATAGGCCATTTTTATTTTATGCTCTGTCCTTCTTCTAATGTCTTGTGTTGCGATTACTGTCCCAGTTGAGATTATTACATGCCCAGCAGGGAGCTGTGCAAGGATGAGAAGAGACAGAGGGTTGGGAGGTTTAGAAATGAAGGTTGAGGGTTAGACTGAAGGTTAAATTTAGAAAGGGACTTGAGTTGACATTCAAGACAGTGGCTTGAGTCATCTGTGTCCTGGAGATGGGGATCCCACGTTGATTCTGGCATGCTGTTTTCTGGCCCCACCATTGTGAGACCAATTTTAGACCGGCAAATGGCATCAGGTGAAGTGTGCAGCTGCTTGCTTGTTCCAGTCTCAACATGCCAGCCTTTTTCTCCTGTTTGCACACAAAGTTAAAATGGTAGGAAATACTGTTTAGCCTTTTACCATAAATACTGCTATCTGAATTGCCAGTCTTCAAATTGAGGTCTGATGTGTAGTGGCTACAAACGAAATGAAACACAATGCTGCCCGTAGGAGCAGGCTAAATCTGTAGCAGTGTCTAATTTGTTACTGTTAGAGGGCCTGGCTTGTGTTAAGTGTAGGATTCCATTAGTCTATGTCTGATTAGGGAGAAAATGGCATTCTTAAACCTTCCACTTTGTGCACTGGCTGTGGAAACAGGGCTGAGCACACTGTTCTTTAAGCAAGTCAAGCTCCTGTGTTGAAATCGTTCTAATTCTTTGCCAGCAATAGCTGGGTTTTGCTACTGTCTATATTTGTATTAAGCACCAAAGAGTGATAAGTCATGGCATGTTTAATATGAATTTCAACAAGAACCCATGAAGCACCTTTTCACTTAATTAAATAGAAGTTAAATCACGTTCAGGGACTGTAAACAGCCTTGCCATTCTCTGACTTGTGGACAGAAGAATCAATGGAACTTTTCCTCGCTTGGAACTCCTTAAGAATTGGATGCAGGCCTTGTTGAAAGGCATCTTCCAGTTCCTGGTGCTTGCAAACTCTTTAAGAGCTGCTCAAGGCAAGATTTATGCTGTTGCTGATGACTTCCTGTTTGTAACTATGCTGTAGAGGACTGGCTTGAAAGCCCATGGAAAGTTCTGTAAGCTTGCAAGATTCATGT